TCGCATGTCACCTGGGTTGTTAGAGGTTGTCTGAAGCTGCATTATGGGACACAGTTCTGAGACTTGATGTAGGGCTTGGTGCTTGCTTATAGGCAGGATGAATCTCCTGAGCCCTGGGTGTGGGAGTCCTATTTTAGTATTTGCTAAGTCCACGCTCTCAAGATGGGATTGAACTGCCAGTCACATTCTCTGGATTACATATTCCATGTTTTTGTGTGGATCTGAATACGCGGAATAATGCACACTGGCTGAAGTTGCAGAGACCTTCCATCACTCAGCAGCTGAGATAAACCTGGAATTCCTTAGCACTTATTCAGCCCGAGCAAGTCTAACCCTACCTGGCATTTCTGTGATGAGTGGCTGACTTGTCACGCTGACGACCCTATGGGGGACGCACTTCTGTCCTCAGCCCCGGTGGTGGTCTGCACTGGCCCTGTGGGGCGGATTTCTTTTGCTCACCCAGACGAGTTCTCACTGACTTTCCCTGGGATCATCCACTCTGCTCCACAGTCTATTTCCTGGGGCTTTGCACAAGGGCAGAGGAGGGGCAGGGCAGCTGGTGGGAGGGGTGGATGCGTGCACAAGTGTTGGGGAGATTTACCACCTTCTACCTACCTACACACCTGAGATACGGTAAAGTGTAACTAAGATTAAAAACCACAGACAACAGAAATACAAATAGAAAGTCAGGATTTTGAGTAGAAGATGAGCAGAGTAATGCAGGCCATAAGGATTCACAAAGTTGTTAATGTTTGAACCCTTGATTCATTCTGTGAGTCCCGAAACCGAAATGAAAGTTACGTGGTGCTTACCATCAGGAGGAAGGAGTATTCTGTTTTTTTTCAGGGAGTGCAAGTGTTCTGCCCTGCTGGTAATTCTTGAAGCATAGCAGGTTCTTAGTTTTTTTTTTTGGGTGGTCCTGGGAATCGAACTCAGGACCTTGTGCTTGCCAGGCAGGCACTTGTGCCACTGAGCTACCTCCCTGGCCCTGCATAGTAGGTTCTTAGTGTTTGTTGATCAAATACATGAGCAAATGAATAAGGAGTGGAGTTGTGTTTGTATCATAAACTAGAAACCAATTTCTAGAAGAACCCATGGAAATAGGAGACTAGGGCTCTACACAGCATGGAGAAATTTTTTTTTTAAATTATTCTTTAGGGGGGCTGGGGATTTAGCTCCGCAGCATAAGCACCTGCCTTGCAAGCATGCAGTCGTGAGTTCGATCCCCGGTACTGACAAAAAAAGTTATTTTTAGGGTATTGTTTATTGTCTTCCATTCTTTTTCTATAATTCTTATATGTATCTTGGATGTCCTGGTTCTATGTTGTATACTTATTTTCTTATACTATATTTCATCACGTGTGTGGTCTACATTTTTTCACATGAGCATCTCCGAGGCTGAGATTTTTGTGGTTGGTGGTTTCTTACAGCAGTTTCTATCCAGGTGCTGGCTGTGACACAGATGCTGCTACCTATGTGTAATTGAACTTGGTTGTTACTCCTGAAGAGTTGATCAAACTGCAGGTTTTCTAAACTCTTCCACTCTGTTCCCAATTCTAAATTTGGTTTATAGTTGCCAGGAATACCATGCTGTTACTGATTAATGAGTCCCAGGGAAATTCCTCTAGGTTCTTGCTAATCGAACAATGAAGTATACAAGACACTCAGGAGAGTGATGGGAATACATATTAATGGAGGCAGGAGAGAAGTAGGCTCTGCAGCCCGAGAGCAGGCGGTGAGCGGACTTACGGCAGCCACGAGAACAGGGAAGAGGGTTCTTTACACTGGGGATTCAGGGGTTGGTTTTTTCCTCATGCAAATAATACATTGACACTGTTGCCCATCATACATCTCTTGGCCTGGCACCGGATTTAAACTATCACACTGAAGATTTGCTCTGGTTTCATCCAAATGTCAGTGGAAAATTAAGCTCAGCCCTTTTCTGACTGGTTCTGTGTGCAGTGCTCAGGCTCTGGACTCTGGGTGCCATGCTGTGGGGGTGCCCCTGCGTCTGCAGGAATTTGGTAGATCCTGCCCCACTGTTTGGTGGGTTTTGCTCCAGCCATCATCTCCTGCCTCAGTCCACTGCTGTGCTGCCTTGAAATTTCCTCTGCTAGGGGCTGGGGATTTAGCTCAGCGGCATAAGCACCTGCCTTGCAAGCAGGCGGTCGTGAGTTCGATCCCTAGTACCGATAAAAAGTTTAAAAAAAAAAAAAAAAGAGCGAAATTTCCTCTGCTAGATAAACTAGTTCATCGCTTCTGAGCTCAGGGAACGGACAAATGAGACCAAATTCTTTGCCGCAGAGTACCATGAGTGACCTAAAGTCTAACTTTCAACAGAATTTTCATGGCTGTTTGAAGCTTCATCAGCATAGCTTTTATTGCCTGCGTTGCTGTCTGATCTTCTGAGGATTCTTGGCTTTCTGTTGCAAAATATGATATTGCAAAGTTTTTCAAACTCTACTGGCAAATTAGTCCCAAACATTTTCTCCCGGGATCTCTGGCGCAGGGATGACTGCCCACGTCTCTCTATCAGGTTTCTATCAATGTAAGAAAGGGAAAAACTGAAATAAACTCTCCAAATTCATTTGCTTTTAGCTGACTTCAAAGCCCACTAATGTAGAGGCAGCGCAGCAGAACAATGTGTGGGTTTTTTTTTTTTTTTTTTTTTTTTTTGTATTTTTACCGGTACCAGGGATTGAATTCATGACCACAGGCTTGCAAGGCAGGCGCTTATGCCACTGAGCTAAACCCCCAGCCCCAGAACAGTATGTTTGTAGTCTTTCTGTAGCCTGATGTAGACTGAACATCTGCTGCCTGAAGAGTTAAAGTTGCTCTCCAAGCAAAGCTGCTTTCTACTCTTCTCCTGGTTCTGCATTTTAAACTGCAAGGTGAGCTACTCCAGGCAAAGGAGCTAAAAAGACATAAGTTATAAAACGAATCAGTACTGATTTGCAGACTGGGCGGGGGGGAGAACAAGAAGTCAACAAGAAGCCGAGCCCTCCCTGTGAGTTGGCGCCATGCGCAGACCGCTGTGGGGGGAACCAGACGCCAGCCCCTTTGAGTGCACAGGCTGGGAGACAAGAAGAGCTGAGGTCATCCCCTCACACCGTGTCCTCATTGTTTTGTTTGGTTGCATTTTATTCTGTTTTGTTTTGTTTGATTTTATTGTATCTGATGGCCTGGGCAGCTATTTCATAGATAAGATACATTATGGCAGCCATTGTTGATTTCCTATTATCTTTTTTTTTGTCTTTTTGAGACAGGGTCTCACTATGCAGTTCAGGTTTGCTTTGAGCTCACTTTGTAGCCCAGGCTGATTTTGAACTTGCAACGATCCTCCTGCCTCAGCTTCCCGAGTGCTGAGATTACAGGTGTGTGACACCACGTCCGGCTATTATCTTGTTTTGAAATTTTGTGCCACTTTCATTGTTTTGTTTTGATTGGCTTTATTATGTTTGGTTGTATTCTTTTAAAAGTAAACTAAAATACACATTTAAAAGTAAAATAATTAAGAGGAGGCCCTGGAGATCATAGCTCCCCTCCATCTTCCGGGGCGCTGGCTCTTGAATAAAACTGATTTCCTTTCCACTAGTGCTCCTCTCCTGAGTGTTGCTGTCTGGGTTACCTTTCTCTCATTGCTGAGACAAAATACCCGACACCCACATGAAGGAAGGGAAGGTTTAGTTAGCTCTCAGTGTGTGGAGGTTTTGATCCGTAACCAGCTGGCTCCAGGCCGGGAGAAGGTGGAGCCTGGTCACAGAGCGGCTAAAAGCATGAATGAGCCTTCTTCACATGACTTCTGCAGTGCAAGCTGCTCCCAAGCCTGGAACATAAGACAAGAAGCACAGTGTTAATTCTGAACTGCAGTGAAGGGATGGAAAAGGACTCTGTTGTGACGGCAGTGCCAACATTTGAAGTGTAGCCTTACATACGTCTTCACCTACGACAGAAGTAGTGAACCCTGGCAGAGATTACCCAAAGGATAAAAAGACTTCACTCAGTTGGAAGTGGGAAAAAATAAACGAGAGGAAACCTGTTTGGCCACAGCTTCAGAGGACTCCGGCATGGCCAGCTGCCTCATTTTGCTTTGGGTCTGTAATCAATCAGCACATCCCGGTGGGGGCAAAGCTGCTGATGGCTGCCCTGGGCCTGAGGGAGGAAGCCGAGGGCCTGGCTGTTGCCACCCTCTTCAGGGGCAGCCCCCAGTGGCTGGAGGACCTCCCAGGGGGCGCCACCTCCTGACTTTTCCTCTGCTTCCCAGTAGTGCTATAATCTGGGGACCAAGCCTCTGGGGGGATGTTCTGGGTTCAAGTCCTGCACTCCCACCTGGAGCACATCTTACAGTTTTCTCGAGGCTCCCTTTCCTCCCCTATGATACTGGGAGAAGAAACTCCTCCTGGGTTTCTTATCTACCTCTTGGGGCCGCTGTACTGAGGGTTAGAAGAGACAGGATCTGTGGAAAATTCACAACAATGGCTGGTGAAGACAAATATTTGTGTCCCTGGACCTGGTGCAGAGCTTAGGTTAGGAAGGTGCTTCCTGGAGTGGAGCTCCTCCCGCCGCAGGGGACCTGCTTCCTTCCCCTGGCTCTTTTGTACCTTGAGGAACTTTGCTCCTTTAGCAGAGGGAGGGAGTTGGGCCGGGGCTGGGGGGCCTGGGGCCGAGCTCACAGGAAGTTTCGGTCTGCTATCTGGACTCCAGAGTCACACAACCAGATTGGGCAAGAACAGGGGCATGTCGGTCCCTCTGAACCTGGTCAGAGATATTTAGAGACACCAACACTTCTGAGAAATCTAGAGGCCGGAAGTGAAAGGGGGAGGGAGGATCAAAGCTGCACCCCAGCGCCTGGGCCTGGGTCCCCCCCACTCCCCATGGTGCAGTAAGGAATGGCATGGCAGGCATGGGAAGGTGGAGGGGGCCAGACCCCTTCCCAGGGGGACGGGACGAGGTGGTGTGTCCCCTCCACCACTGCGCATTGTCCGAGTTCCAACCGTGTCTCCACTTCTATTTACTGTCCAAAGTCCCCGGGCCAGGAGATGCCAGGTTAGAGTGATCCGAGCACTCAGGACCCAGGCCTGGACCAGTTTCTTCTTTCCGTTGCACCCACCGCCCGCCCAAGTTCTCTGGTTTAACCCCTCTGTGTCCCTAGTACCTGGGCTGCTGCAGGAGCCAGAGCCAGCTCTTCCCACGTTTAACTGGTAACCAAGATTGGGGGAGGCAGGCGGGTGGGGGTGTTTCAAAATAAGGAGACCTTGGTTTAGGGGCAGTGGGGCCGGTTGGAAAGACGTGGGTAGTCTGAGCCTTGGGAGTACAGAGAGATGGTTCCCGGCAATGTCAGAGGTCAAACCGTCTGTGTTTTGTTTGTTTGTTTTGAGTTAGGGTCTCACTGTAGTGCAGGCCAGTTTTGAGTTTAGTTTGTAGCCTAGACTGGCCTCAAATTGTGGTAATCTTCCTGCCTCAGCCTCCTGAGTCCTATGCTATCTCTTAAGAAGGATCAGGACTCTGAAATATCTAAAATCTTTACCCTGAACTCAATCTGACCATCAGCCTCCATGAGAATTTGCATCTTATCCTGAGCCCCGGCTCTAACAGCAGCCTCTGCTCGGTCCCAGATCAGACTCTAGCTCTGGGCCCGTCATGGACAAGGATTTTCAAGACATCCAGCAGCTGGACCCTGAGGACAATGACCATCATCAGCTCCGCGGTGGTGAGGAGCCTGGCACTCGTGGGCAGAATCCCAGGAGAGAAGATCCGTTTTGGAAAGGCAAGTGTCAGCTTCCTGGGCTTTATCCGCACCCCGCACCGCGCTCCAGTGGCTAGCTCCGTCCCTCTGGGGTCTGCCCCTATCACTCCTTGAGCTGGGGCCAGTCCTTCTAGGTGTGAGCTGTGGAGAGCTGCTCTCCAAGGGCTGCGGGGGCGGCCGGGTGGGGACACCTGGAAGGTGCCGGTGGATTCCTCCTCTCCCATGCGCTGTGTGTTTGCCTGTGTGCCTGTGGGAAGGAGGGATGCAGAGCCAGCTGGGTTGAGGTGGGGAGGGAGGTGGGCACAGGGAGCCCTGTTTTTCTTATGCTCATGGTCTGAATCTTCCTGGAGCAAATCTTTCATTTTTATTCTTTTTTTTTGGGGGGGGGGTACCAGGGATTGAACTCATGACCTCGCACTTGCCAGGCAGGCACTTATGCCACTGAGCTATATCCCCAGCCCCAAACCTTTCTTTTCATTGAACTAAGAGAAATTCATAGAATATGCATCTTAACTATCTATTTACATATATGTATATTACACATACATTATTTCTGTCAGCTTCTCACACTAGGGAGATAATGCAACATTTGTACATGCGAGTCTGATTTATTTCACTTATGAGTATGTTCTCTAGATGCATCCCTTTACCTACAAAAGTCTCAAATTTATTCTTCTTTATGGCTGAGTGGTATTCCATTGTATAAGAATATCATATCTTTTTAATCTGTTCTTCGGTTGATGGGCATTTAGGTTGTTTCCAAGATGTTAGTTATTACAAATTGTGCTGCTATAAACATGGGTGCACATATATCACTATAGTACGATGTTTTTAATTCTTCTGGGAAAATACCCAGAAAGGGAATAGCTGGGTCAAATGGAGCCTCCAATCCTACTTTTTGAGGAATCTCCACAGTGATTTTAGAGTGGCTGCACCGGTCTACGCTCCCACCAACAGTGAAAAAGGGTTTCTTTTTCTCCATGGCCCCGTCAGCATTTGTTATTGGTGATGATAACCATTCTTTATGGGTGAGATGGAATCTCAGTGCTGTTTTAATTTGCATTTCTCAAATGAACAGTGACGTTGAACATTTTTCCATATATTTATTTGCCATTTATATTTATTCATCTGAAAGTGTGTTCATCTCAGATGCCCATTTTTGGGTTGGGTTTTTAAGTTTGGAAGATGAGATTTTTTTGAGTTCTTTATGTGTTCTCAGTAGTAATCCTTGGTCTGAGGAACAGCTGGCTAAAACTCTTTTCCCGCACTGTGGTTGTCTCTTCACTCTAGTGGTGGTTTCTCTGGCTGTGCAAAAGCTTTTTAATAAGATGAGATCCTGGTAGTTGATTATTTGTGATAGTTCCTGTGCAATTGGAGTTTTGTTCACAAAGTTTTTGACTACACCAGTGTCTTCCAGGGTTTTACCTCTTCTATCTTCCAGCAGGTTTAATGTTTCTGTTTTAATATTTAGATCTTTGATTTATTCTGATTTTAGCTTAGTACATAGTGAAAGATATGGGTCTAGGTTTAATATTCAGCATGTGGAAAGCCAATTTTTCCAGCACCATTTGTTTTTTGCTTTTTGTTTTTGTTTTTTTTTTGGTCTTTTTCATTTTTATCGGTACCGGGGATCGAACTCACGACTGCCTGCTTGCAAGGCAGGGGCTTATGCCGCTGAGCTAAATCCTCAGCCCCTCCAGCACCATTTGTTAAAGAGGCTGTCTTTCTTCCAGTGGATGTGTTTGGCACCTCTGTCAAGGATAAGGTGGCTTACCTTTACTAGATCTTGAAGCAGGTCCCATGTGGCTGGGGAAAGGTGTTAAAGTGAGAGAGGGCTAAGTGGTTCTAGGCCAAAATGCAGGAGCCAGGGGTGGAGGAGAGCACTCTGTGTGGGTGCTGGTGATGGAGCCTGGACTCGGAGCTCAGGGAAGGGGGTTGATGAGCCTGGGCTGGAGGAATCCCTGCATTCCTGGGCCGGGCAGGAGGATCTGGAGCTGGTGCTGAGCAGAGCGGAAATGGGCAGAGGGGTCGGTGTTCCACTGATGGCTTCTCCTTCCCTGGCGTAGGCTGGCAGTCTTTCCATCTGTGGCTCTATGAGGACAAAGGCCATGTCTGCCTTTGCTGTCCTCCGCAGCTTTTGGATCCACATGGTGTCTGGGACCATGAACCTTCAGAAATGGCTTTGGTGATTGCCAGACCTTTGAGAGGATGCAGGGTTTAGCAGGGGGCGTGGAGAAAGCCCCAAATTTCTGAACTTAGTAAGAGTGGGAACATGCTCAAACAGACTGAGGCCCAACACCGAGGGACCAGCTCAGATGTCACAACAATCACACATCCTCCTCCTGCTGTGCTGCCTCCTGGAGGAGTCACTGCGGAGCAGATTTGTAGATTTCGCTGCTGATTGCCTCCCATTGGTGCTTCCCATTTCCAAATTTTACAGCAAATTTGGAAATGTTTTGACCATTGTTTCCTCAAATATTTTTTTTGTTTCCACCCCTTTCCTTTCTGTCCGGGACTCCAGTTATGTATATATAAATAGCTCACATTGATCAACGACCTCATGGATGTGCTTACGTCCTCTCTCCCAGCTCGGACTGAGCTCAGCGCTTCACGTGTGCTGGACAAATGCTCTGCCACTGAGTCGTACCCCAGCCCATTTCCATAGATTTCCATCATTAGCTTCCTCATTGTGAGTTTGCCTGTTTCATCGAAGCATTGTGACCTTGGATTGGATGGCAGGTATTATAAGTTTTGTCTTGTTGGATTCTAGATATTTTTGGTTTGCTCTAAATATTCTTCAGCTTTTTCTTGAAAGTAACTTGGGATCAGTTTGATCCTGTGAGCTCTTAACTGTCTTAGGTTCAGACTCCTCAACTCCAGGAGTCTGCAGGGCTCTACCTCGATTTCCTCTCCTGCTCCCGGACCCGAAAACTTCTCCACGCAGTAACTTGGGGCGATTGGAAAACCTATTTCTTCTATTTCTTGTCTTTCAAGGGTCACTGTCATCCGGTGTCTTTGCAAACTATTGCATCTTATAGCTGTTTGCTTTTCATTTTGGTTGTTTTCGGGCAGAGGGTAAGTCTGGCTCCTGTGTGCTCATCTTGGGCAGAACATTTCTTTAACTTTCGAATGGCTCAGGTAGCACTTTACATGCTGCTTGTGTTATTGACATTTTATGCCTGAAAACATGGAGACACCAAGAAACTGAGTGATGGGCTCTGGATTTCTGAGCCAGCTGGTGGGACAGCTGGAGATGAGCTGACTTGGGGTTTACAGGTCACCAGTCTCAGAGCAGGGAAAGGCCCCTCTTGTGGGCAGTGCCGAGGGGCACAGTCAGGAGCTCAGCTGTGGGGTCTCAGGCTGGGCGGGGAAGTCTGCACGGAGAGCGCGGCAGGAGCGCGACGTTGCCCGTTTAGTGCTGCAATCACAGAAGACTTGAGATTGGGTAATTGTAAGCACAGAGATCTATCGGCTCACGATTCACTGGCTGGCAGGCTGCATCTCCCTCTGCTGAAGACTTTTCAGTGTGTCACCTCATGGTGGAAGGGCCAAGGAAGGCTGTCTTAGTTACTTTTCTCTCACTGCTGAGACAAAATACCTGACACCCAAGGTTAAAGGAGGAAAGGTTTATTTAGCTCACAGTCTGTAGAGGTTTCAGTCCTTATCAGTTGGCTCCACGGTAGAGTGGCGTGGCCGAGGGGAGAGTTACGGTGGGAGAAAGTAGCACCGCAACAAGCCAGGGAGACAAGGCTCTTCCGACCCTTCTCTGGTGTGCAGGATGCCACTCTAGGGCGGCTGTAGCATTCACAGCCTTGATGCTACCCAGGGCTATACCAAACCAATCGGTGGACTGATTTGCTCACCACACACCCTTAATCCTGAAAAAGCCCTGGGACTGCATGAGGCTTTGGGGTGACATCGAGACACAAACCGTAAGGGAAGATGAGAGAGACAGCCAAAGGGGAGGCTTTATGAACAGCTCACTCCCGCAATACGCATCAATCCATTCATGAGGACAGCCCCTTCCCATCGGGACCCCTCCCAACACTGTGCACTGGGGATCGAGTCTCCACACTTTCAAGGGCACACTTTACCCTCGGTGCAGAGGGAAGGGGTGTGGGAGAAGTGAGAGGCAGGGAGGCTGTGTTCGGTGGGTAGGACGGACATATCGGAAACAGCCTCTGCGGATCGAGATGGGGTTCTGAGTACGGCTTCTGTGGAGGCAGCTGACAGTCACTGGTGTGGAAGGGGTCTGGGTGGACACTCACAGGAGCAGCATCCGCTGAGCCTCCTAGGATTGGGCATGCCGGGATGGCACTGCCACGAGGGAGGGAGGTCCACAGAGTCGGTGTCCGGGCAGAGAGGAGGAATCACTGCACAGGTGGATGGCACAAAAGCGGGAGCTGAGGGCCGGGTGGGCCGGCAGAGGGGCGGGCAGTTCACGTGTGGTGTGTGTGAACCTGCTGCTGTGCACGTGGGTGAGGTGGGGGAATGTATGCGTCTACGGAGAGTTGTGGTGCATGCCTGTAATTCCAGCATTCTGGGGGCCTGAAGCAGGAGGATTGCAAGTTCGAGCCCAGCCTGGACAACTTAGCAAGATTCTGTCTTAGCAAAGAAAAAGATGAGTGTATCAGCGTGTGACGGAGAGTGGGAGGAGAGACTGCGTGTTAATGTGCATGCACGATGGTGGGAGTGAAAGCTGTGTGTGTGTGTGTGTGTGTGTGTGTAAGAGTGTGTGTGGTCAGCACACAGACTGGTCAGCGGGAGGAAGAGGTTGCAATGGGTGACTGAGGGCTGAGATTCCATGCTTCTGGAGGGGCCTGGGTTTCTGGGGTGTGGGGGACAAGGACAGTGGGAATTGGGGAAGGGCTCTGAGTGAGGACCTGAGAAGACCTGGGCTTTACTCTGGGGGGCCTCTGGGCTGAAGTAGCCCAGTGGATTTGGGGATGGATGGGTTGTCCAGGCTGGGTTCGAACTTGCAATCCTCTTGCTTCAGGCTCCCAGAATGCTGGACTTGTATGAGGGACACAGCCTTTGATCTCAGAGAGAACCCTGGGCCTCGCCTCGAGGGATCCCAGTCTGAAGGGACAGGGAATGTGGGAGGGCAGAGTCTAAAACCAGAGATGGAGGTGGTGCCGCAGGGGAAACCTTTACAGACTTCCTTTTTAGGGTGTGTGACTAGTGAACCCCGGGCCTGTTCCCCAGACCCCGCTGTCCCAGGTGTAACACCTCAGTTTTGCACCCAGCTGGTATATCGCGCACCATGTGAATGCGTGTTTTGGGCAGCGGTGTAGGTGCGCTTAAACACGTTCATTTGGGCCAGGGGTGTCAGTGTGTTTTCAATGCCTCCACAGTCAAAAACCATCGCGCCCCACAGCCCCGCCCTGGTTTCCTCCCCCGCCTGCGTTGTGCCTCCTCAGATGCCCGTGCCCTCCTGCTCCACTGCGCCTCCACCCCAGCGCCCTTTCCACGGATGCCCGGCCCCTGACACCCCCTCTCTCACAGAGCCGTCTGCTCCCCGGACCCTCCCGCAGCGCCTCTGCTCCAGGTTCCGCCTCAGTCTGCTGGCCCTGGGCTTCAACATCCCACTGCTGGTGGCCATATGTGTGATTGGGTCCCAAAGTGAGCGTCACAGGGCTGGCAGGGACGGGGCCAGCTGGGGAAGGGTTATGGGCACTGATGGGAACAGCAAGAGGGGAAGAGGTGGAGACGGCATGGGGCGTGTGCTGGGCCAAGCGGGTCAGTGCGGGTGGGTGAGGGAGAGAACAGTGCTGGCGGTGCTGGGGGTGAGCGGCAGGGCTGTGGGTAGCCTCACGCCCTGTCCTGTCCCCGCCGTCTCCTGACAAGGCTCACAGCTGCAGGTGGAGCTGCAGACCCTGAAGGAAGCTTTCAGCAATTTCTCCTCCAGCACCCTGATGGACATCCAGGCTCTGGGCTCCCATGGTGAGTGGGCAGCGCACGAGCTTTCTGGGCCCTGTGCTGAGTCCTCAAAGGGAGCGTGTTCGTGGGCTGTGGGGTCAGACGGTGACCGGGGACCAGGTGAGAACTCCAGCTGGTGCCCCAGGAGTGTGGGGCTGGAGGTTCCTGCAGGAGCCAAACAACTTTTTTAGGGGGCAGAGCAGATGACAAGTTGACGTCCTGGGGAGCCCGGCTGGAGAAAAAGCAGCAAGACCTCCAAGCAGGTCAGCGGCTTCCCAGCGAGCGGGTCTGTGTGTGCTGGGTGCAGCCTCGCCGTGTGTTTGGAGGTGTGTGGTATGTGCTGTGTGCGGTATGTGCCGTGTGCGGTATGTGCCGTGTGCGGTATGTGCCGTGTGCGGAATCTGCGTGTGGGTGGTGTAGGCAAAGCGTGCACTGTGTGTCTGGGGTGTGCACCCTTTTGCACAGTGTGTGGTGTATGTGTGTTGCGTGGTGGGGCGTGGGCACCTGCGGGCTCTGCGGTGTGGGGTGTGGTGTGAGCTTCCCTGGCCCACAGCGGAAGCCTTGTGCCTGGTCGTGGACGGGAGGGGACCTGCCGCTGGCACACTGCTACCCACACATCTGCTCCCCAGACCATGCCGCCTTACACCTCCACCTGAAGCACTTTCCCGTGGATCTGCGCACCCTGACTTGTCAGATGGCGTATCTCCACAGCAACGGTAGGGGTAGGGGCGGGAGCCTCTGGTCCCCTGTGTCTGTCCCTCCAGTTGGATCTCACCTCTCTACACCTTTTGGTCCCTCAGGCACAGAATGCTGCCCCGTTAACTGGGTGGAGCACGAAGGCAACTGCTACTGGTTCTCTCGTTCTGGGATGACCTGGCCCGAGGCTCGCAAGTACTGTCAGCTGGAGAACGCCCACCTGGTGGTCATCAACTCTTGGGAAGAGCAGGTGAGGCCATGCTTCGCAAAGCCAGAGGAAATCTCCAATGCAGGCTTCGTCAGGAGGCCTGGTCAGGCTTGCTTTTCTCTTTTAACCTAAAGAAGAGTCCAGAAGCAGGAGGTGGCAGAGCTCTGGAAGTGGCAGACTGTGCCAGCAGCCAGATGGTCAGAGCTGGCCGGCAGACAGAGCGCCAGCCTGAGTGACCTGGAGGCCGGGCTGACCTCTGGATGTGTCTGTTACTTGGGTTAAAGCAATCGAATGAGCGAGACCCAGAGTGCTCCTGCAGGGGGTCAGCGTGTCCCCCCCTGTCTCCCTGTGGCCAGGAGAGAGCCATCCTGACCACTCAAGTTTGGGGTGAGAACCCCTGGGAAGACAGGATGTTTTTGGAGAAAAGGAGGGTAATATTGGCAGCACTTCGTGACTACTTACTATGTTCTAGATGTTTTCATGTACTCCTGCCAAGCCTCACACCCTGCTGGGCAGGGGCCCTTTTTATCTCCACTGTGAGGAGAGGCCTCTAAAGAACAGAAATGGTGGTTTGTACCTAGCCATTCATCGTGATGGAGCCAGAGTCCAGGTCTGTCTGACCTCCTTGGCTCACGTGTCCAAATACTGCCCGCTGCCTTGGACGTGTAAGGTGTCTGGGTCTTGTGCTATGAGAATTTGAAAGAGCTGTAACGCAGATTCAGCCACGAGGTTCAGAAGCCAGGACTGTATTTGCTGAGCATCTACCCATGGTGCGCTGTAAGCGCTTCACATGTGAAGTGGTGGCAAACAGTTTGCTTTACTGATTGGGTTGAAATCATCAGTACTCAACTGATTTTGACCTATAAGACATTAACTTTGTGTCATCGGCCTAAGATTTCAGCCGTCTGCCACGTGGCTCCCGGGTTCCTAGCCGTTACATCTTCCTGGTAGATTGTGCGTTCATCATTATGGAGTGAATGCCGTGATTTGACCTCTAATGATCACTTTTATGACTTTAAGTGGCTGATTGAACTTCAGTAGCTTAAGGACAACCAAGAGTTTACATAACTTTGCACACGTAAGGTGAGGAAAAGGACACTAGTACACTTTTTGGGGTGTGATCTCCCCAAAAGCTATTCAGTCAATAGCTTTTAAGCATGTTTTCTCTGGGCTCTTTTGGAATCCTTCACGAATGCTGGTGACACACTGTTTACAGCAGGAAGTAATAAAGTTCTCATCTGTCCTTTGGAGCCCTGATGAGTCCCACGACAGTGCTCCTCCTCTGTCACTGTTATGAGTGGGTACAGTTCACTTTTCTCTGTATTTCACCCAGGAAGAGGAGGCAGTGAATGGTCCTACACAATTTTCTCTGACTGTGTAGCACAATTTGATTCCTCCCTAGTCTTCAAGACAGAGGCCTGGGTTTGGTGATGTGGATACTTTACTCAGTTTTTTTTTGCAGACAGATGAGGTGACTAGGGCAGCAGATTGCAGCAAGTAAAATGTGCTCCCCCCAGATCCCTTCCTCCCAGCGCTGTTGACGCCTCTATGTGTGGAGAGCAGTCTGCATGCACAGGAACTGTCCTAACTTTAGGACCCTAGAACTTAGGGATGCTGCTGTACCTGATTATGTCCTTGGGTGAGGTGACCCAAGGACACCTTAGTTATGTCTCTACAGAGGATGAGTGGAATCAGACATTTCCCTCCAGATGGAAGAAAGAGACCTTCATGTGGTATCAAAGGGGATTGCAGAATTTCTGCTTCCTCCAGAAACTGGGTGACCGCATCTTGGCCTACTAAACCATGGGACTTAAATCTCTAGGAGTAGAGATTTAGTAACTGTAATATCTGTAAGAGAAACCTATTTGGAAGGCGTTTCTGGGAAGCTGCCTGCAACCCTGCCGGCCGGACGACTGGGATGCCCTCATTCTCAGGGCACCCTCCTGCCTGCAGCACAAGGCGCCACAGCCATGTGGCCAGGTCATGACGGAGGTCCATGCCAAGGGTCCTGGGAACCCCTGAGCCTTGGCAAACCTTAGGAAGTGGCAGCTACCCTTAGAAGCAGGAGCATCCAGGGCAGAGATATGGAGAGTGAGCGAAACAGACCCTTAATAGGTCCTGTTGGGGCAGCAGGGCAGAGACTTCAAGAGATGGAGGTTGTGGGAAGACAGGAGAGGCCCGGAGTTAGGGGGGCGGCTTGAGGGGAATGGAATGGGATGCGAGGCCAGGGCTGGGAACCGAGGATCTGGGTTCACGGCCTAGTTCACGGCTTGGCTCTTGGCTCCAACAACTGCCCTGAGAAATATGAATCACTTAACGGTTTCTGAGGTCTGCATTACATCATTCTGGTGAAACACTTGGCTCATGAAGCCTGCCTAGGAGAAGGAAGGTGCAGGCGGCTGGCAGCTCCCCACTGTCTTTCCAGAAGTTCATCACACAGCACACAGAGCCCTTCCACACCTGGATCGGCCTCACGGACATCGAAGGCACCTGGAAGTGGGTGGACGGAACCGAATACAGGCACAGCTACAGGTGAGGGGCCTCCCTCCAGCGTCTGGAACGGCCACTGGGCCTTCACCCCTTCCCGTGCACCCCTGGGGGGTCCCCCAAGGCCCACACGCCTCCATCCTCTCCTCCTCACCTCCCCACTTCCCAGGCTGTGCTCTGATGGCCTGGGGATGGGGTCCCCAGCTGCGGCAGGGAGGGCAGACCTGAGCTCGGCTTTGCCTTCTTAGGAACTGGGTTCTCTCTTGGCGAGACCACTGGCGAGGCCGAGAAGTGGGCGGAGACGAAGACTGTGTTGAAATCTTGTCGAGCGGCTACTGGAATGGCAATTTCTGCCAGCAGGTGAACCGCTGGGTGTGTGAGATGCCTCGGAACAGCACTGGCTAGGAGCCCTGCTCCAGCAGGACCCTGGGCCCGGCCTGCGCCAGCCCAGCCCTCTCCTAAGGATCTCTGGGAAGCAGCAGCACAGAGCCCTGGCCGCGGGGAGGGGCCGAGGGACCCGGGGAAACTGAGGTCCTGCTTCTTGCAATTCATGTAATTGGTGTCATTTTCATCCTCTTCAATGGAGGAGGAGGAGAAGAAGCAAACACTCGAAACTCCGCATGGTCTGGTTATTTGGAGTTGGGACAGGAAGGGAGCAAAGAAAAGGGAGCAGGGAGAGCTTGGAAGGAGAGAAGCCCAGTTGCTTGGCGGCTGCTCCCTGCTCCCAGCACCCAGCGGGTCCTCAGGGACACCAGGTCCCCAGGGACGCCGCTCAGGGTCGGGGAGCAGAGCTTGGAGCATAAACACTCCGCGGCTGGGACTCCTGAGAGCTGGGGGGTCACCTGCCCCCCAGGAGCTTTCCCTGCAGCTGTGGCTCTCTCCCCGCCCCCCAACTGGGTTGCAGGGCATCCTCCCCTGCTCCCACCCCCTTAGACTCCAGAGAAAATGTTTCTCCCCAGAGAGGAGGCTTGGCTTCTTCTGAACCCTAAATAGGTTTAGACCCATCACCGGCACAGAGCGTCACCAGCAACTCCACAGTGGGCACACTGCCCTCCTCGGTCACTTAGAAACTGGCCTTAAAAGGATCTTTAGGCAATTTCATTTTAAGCTGTTTTTTTTTTTCCAGTGCTAAGGATGAAATTTGGGGCCTCTCCTATGCTGGACAAGGGCTCTAACACTGAGCTACATTCTTTGCATACTGAGCTACATTCTTTGTGTCTCCAAATTTTAAGTTACAAAGTAATGCACACTGTTACAACGTTTCAAATGCTCCCGCAGGCCTCTGCACCCGCACTGGGGGGTCCACATAGCTCGCCCTTAATCTTCCGATAGTGTAGAGGAGTTAAGAGCATCTATTTTTGTCTGCAACAATTCTTATTTAATTCCTGACTCAGAATTTGAGTAAATTATGGCTGATTTTTGATTTTTTCTTTTGGTTTTGATTTTTGAGTCAGGGTCTTACTCTGTAGCCCAGACTGGCCTCAAACTTGCCATCCTCCTGCCTCAGCCTCCCAAATGGCTGCGATGACATCGTGCATCATTGCACCCAGCTATGAAATCAGTGTTTTAGTTTGTACTTTTTTCCCTACAGCTGGGGGGAGGTGGACCTAAATTTTATGAGGCCTGAAAACTGAGGTGTACACAGTTTTGAGAATCCTTGTGTAGGGAAAAATACAAAATAATGAATAAAAATTTAGCATAAACATTACTATTAATTTAAAAATGACAAAAAGCCAAAGGCTACCATAAACAGCACAAAATTCAGAAAAATGGTTTTTTTTGACAATCTTCCAACATGTATCTAAAACTGATCTCCCCCTCACTTTTTGCTTATATTTGGCAAAGACTTGGAATGTCGCTTTTCATGGAGAGAGGGGAAGACGATGCGGGGCCGGCTAGCACGGTTCCCTCGGGCCTTCGGGTGCCCATGGGCTCTTGCCCCACCTTTGTGCCCCCCTCCACCGGGGCACAGAGAATCTGCTCAGCGGATAACAAAAGTACCCAGAAAACCATGCTTTCTCTGGGGGACAAACTAGAGACACGGACACGACATGACCCGCATGCCTCGGTTCTTGGCTGTAGCCAGATGTATTTCCAACCAACCTCTTTCCCAAACAAGCCTGGAAAGGGGACGTTGGGGTGGGAGGGGTCAGGGCGCTGAGTGTGGGGGAAGCAGCCTGCACCTGTCACCCATCGCTGGTGGATCAGCGACATCAATGACTGATCTCTACCGCAGTGCAGTCCAAGTCCGCAGTCAGAACACCCCGGGGTCGTTTGCAGGGAGATGGAAGCACCTGCAGCCCGCAGTGCTGCACGACAGACATCAGACACACGAGCTTAAGTGTCACACGGTTTTCCTTACATGAGAAGCTCATATTACAGTGAAAGCCAAGGGACAGAACAGGAAGAGGAGATCTTTTCCAAACGGTGTCAGGAGGTGGAGGGAGGGGAGGAGGGGAGGAAGACTACAACGTTGAGCTGTATCATGTACACCCACGAGGGTGTCCACCGCCGGGCACCGCAAACAGTCCCGAGGAAACACAGAACCTGAAGCCGTGCTGATGTCTCGTGGAGCCCTGCTGGGATCTCACTGTCAGGGAGCGACGGCCCAGGCGTGCCGTGGAGTGTTCTCCAGCTCGAGCTCCGTTAGGCTCACATGAACCACTCTGTGCCTGCTCACCGCCCTCCAGCCTGTGTCCCCGCTCCGGCCCGGGGAGGTCCCGTACCTGAAACGTCCTGCGCCTGCTGGGCAGCTGCCGGGCCCTTCTCTTCTCTCGGTTCGGGTCGTCTCTTGCTAGGATTTGTGTCTTCTTTCTTGGTATGAGGCTGGTTTGGCTGGAGCATCCTCTCTCTTAAAAAATCTGTGTATGGAAAGAAATGAAAAATTTAATTATTACTAATTAATATATTATTTTTGTCTTGTTTAAACTTTTTTTTGGCCGGGCGTGGTGGCTCACGCCTGTAATCCCAGCTCTCGCTGAGGCAGGAGGATCGTTGTGAGTTTGAGACCAGCCTGGGCTACAAAGTGAGCTCAAGGCCTGGCCGAATTGCATAGAGACCCTGTCTCAAAAAAAGACCAAACAAACAAACAAACTTTTTTGTCATACTGGGGATAGAATTCAGGGCCTCATGTATGGCAGGCAAACTGTTCTAGCACATAGCTAAAAGACACGCCCAGTCTCTCAAGTTTTTATTTCTTGACAGAATAATTGAACACAGTTACAGGGTGAGATGTGATGTTTTGATGCAGGTATATACTGCGTGAAGATCAAATCAGGAAATTAGCATATACATCATCTCAGACATTTATCATTTCTTTGTGTTGGGCTTATTTAAAATCTTCTAGCTATTTTGAAATGCACAGTAAATAACTGGTAAATATAGTCACTGTACTGTGCTGCAGAATGCTAAACATCTCATTTACCTGTGCTTTGGTGTGGGCTAACAGGTCCCTCTCATCTCCCCTCCCGCCTCCTGAGCCCTTTGTGACTTTATCTCTACTTCTATGAGATCAGCTATTTTAGCTTCCATATGTGCATGAGAATATCAGGTCTTTCTGTGCCTTATTCTGTTTAACAAAAGGAGAAACATTTTTTTTTTTGATAGACTGACTATTTGGGAAATATAAAGCTCCAGGTCAAATAGCTCCATCTATCTATCTATCTATCTATCTATCTATCTATCTATCTATCTAGTGAATTTTTGACACAGGAGCTCGCTTCATAGTTCAAGCTGGCCTGGACTCACTTTGTAGCCCAGGCTGACCTCAAACTCTCAGCGATGCTTCTGCCTCAGCCTCCTGAGTGTTGGGATTACAGGTGTGCACCACCGTGCCTGGCCTCGCTCCGTATTTTCTAGTTTTGATGTGCTGTTAAGGTGTCCAGCCCTGTCTTTTAGACTGAATGTTTTGTGTGTGAATCTCTTTAATCCAGGGGGTGGTGATGGTTTGGGACTGATGTGTTCCCCAAAGCTTCGTGTGTTAAAAGTTTGGCTCTTTACCCATGATGCTATTGAGATGTGATGCCCAGACCCAAAGCAGTGAGTGGGGCCAGCTGCTCATGGGTTGGTACCTTCAAACCTGTCGGTCAAAAAGCCCTTCCCTCTTTGTAAGTTAGTTCCCTGATTCTCTCAGGAATTTTGTTAAAGTGATGGAAAACCGGCTTAGAAAAAGGGACTTTCTTTCTTTTTCATTATAATCAGGCTTTCAGTATACCTCCTTTTTTAAATCTGGGAGAGTGGAAGGGGATGTGGAGAGAGAAGTGGTCAGAGCCAGGAGGGTTCTTCCGGGCCATGGTGAGGATTCTGCTCAAAAATCTGTGGGCCGTGTCAGCCCTACTTGGTTCTCCAAGGTTCTTGTGGAAAACCTCAGGAAAATGAGTGTCAGACAACAATGATTGCTTGTGTCATCTCAAGAATATCATACAGTGGAGTCGTAGAGTAGGTGACCCCTTCGAACTGGCTTATTTTCTCCCAGCACAACCCTCGAGAGGGTTCCCTACATGGATGCATATGTCTGAGGTTCATTCCTTTGCATTGCTGAGTAGTATTCCACAGTGTGAATGTACCAGTGCACCAAAAAAAAAAAAAAAACCAAAAAACAAAAAGAAAGAAAGAAATACAGCAGCCAACACAGCGTCACAATGGTCACCTGCACAATGGCAGGTGCTCGTAAACCTGTCTTTAACTAACAGGCCCTGAGGTCCTACATGGTTTTACTTCCCTGCTCACTGAAAAAAACCGGGTTCCCTATTCCACTAGGATTTGTTTTTTTTTTTATTTTTTAAAAAAGGAGATTAAGATAAAAGAGGACATAACAACAACACAGGTCAGAACAGAACAATTTAAGCAACATAGTGTTTCACCACAAGATAACACGACAAAACAGTAGCTACTATAGTGTCTCTTTCCTTGAAATATTTGAGTGTAACTTCATATACTATAACATCAAACATAACAAAACAGTGTAAAACCGTTCAAGAGAATGAAAGTATTACAGGGTATTTAGAACCAACTAACAGGAAATGAAAAAGGTTTCTATATGATCTCCTTGTCTATAAAAATTTTTGTTTATACTATCACATATAATAAAATCCAGTAAGATACAACATGATAAAACTGATGGAGACAGAAGAACAAAAGCTTGGTGGGACTTCAAAACAAGATGATACTAAATCAGCACTAGCTATTATATTGTCTTGTTTTCTTCAAAATAGCTGTTCCTACCATCACGGACAGTAAAATCAAGCAACCCAGAATAAAACCATTCCCACTAATGAATGAAAACATTGTAAGGCTTCAGAGCAATATAATGGGGAATCATGATTACCACATACTTTTATGTATTCTTACCCTTTCTTACACTAGGGAAACTATTTGGTATTTATACATGTGAGTTTGATTTATTTCATTTATAGTATGGTCTCAAGCTGCGTCCATTTATTTATAAATATCTCAATGTGATCATTCTTTATAGCTGAGTAGTACTCCATTGTATAGAAATACCATAACTTTTTTTTATCATTCCTCAGTTTATGGACACTTAGGTTGTTTCAAAGATCTGGCTATTACAAATTGTGCTGCTATAAACATGGGTGCACATATATCACTGTGGTATGATGCTTTCAGTTCTTCTGGGAATATGCCTAGAAGTGGAATAGCTGGGTCAAATGGGACTTCCAGTCCCAGCTTTCTGAGAAATCTCCAGACTGACCTCCACAAAGGTTGCATCAGTCTACATTCCCACCAACAGTGCAGGAGAGTTTCTTTTCCTCTCCAGCATTTGTTGTTGGTGGTTTTCTTGATTTTGGCCATTCTTTCAGGAGTGAGATGGAATCACAGTGTGGTTTTAATTTGCATTTCTCTAATGAGTAATGATGATGAACATTTTTTCATATATTTATTTGCCATTTGTATTTCTTCATCTGAGAAGTGTGTAATCATCTCAGATGCCCATTTTTGGATTGGATTTTTGAATTTTGGGGGGCTAATTTTTTTCAATTCTTTATATGTTTTAGACAGAAGTCCTTCATCTGAGGGACAGTTCACTAAGATTTTTTCCCAGTTTGTAGATTCTTTTCACTACGCTGGAGATTTCTTTTGAGGTGCAGAAACTTTTTAATAAGAACTGGTCCCAGTTATTGGTTCTGGGCAGTGTTTCCCCTGCGGTTTGTTTCTGTCTCACTGTGCAGCCCAGGCTGGCCTTGGACTGTATTTATCCTCCTGCGCCGCCCTCCCGGGGTGCTGGAGTTACAGGCTTGTGCCTGCCGGCCGGTGCAGTAACTGTGCCTTGCATTTCCCGGGGGCTAACGAGGTCTCCCTTTCCATCTGCTTGTTGGCTGTCTGCACATCATCTTCAGGACCTCTCTGTGCTGTTTGCCATTTTCTAATGGGGACTTTTAAATTGTTGGGTTTTCAGAACTATCTAGCCCAGCCATCAGGTATTTGTTGGATCGGAGGACTGTAATATTTTCTCCACATCTGTAACAGAGTCTCATTTCTGCCAAGACCATCACGATTACTACTTGGCAGGTCCAGTTAAGGAACTGAGCAGTGTGGCAGGACCACACGACCCTTTCCTGTTTTTATAGCAGCGTGGCTGGGTCCCTAAGCTGGGAACGTTGTTGTCGTGGCGATGTATTTAAAGCCGACAGGAATTGGAGGCAGTGAGTCAGGACCAGAAGTGACCAACAGGCCATCACTGACATTATTTTGCGGGGGTTTTTAGGTGCAGTGAAACATTGAACTTTTTCTCTGCACGGGGCAAGGGAGGGCGGTGCTTTGTCACACACACACCACAAACGAAAGTGCCTTCAAAGGAACTAGTCACAGGCCCAGTGGTTGTGTCTAGAGGGCGAGGGAGTCATCTGGCAGGGCAGCTGAGTTGCGGGTGTGTGCTTGTGTGCGTGTGTGTGTGTGTGTGTGTGTGTGTGTGTGTGTGTGTGTTGACAGGTCTCACCCTGTAGCCCAGGCTGGCCTTGAACTGACTATGTCGCCCAGGCTGGCTTCGGATTCATCCTCCTGTCTCAGCCTTCAGATTGCTGGCATTACAGGCGTGTGCCACCACTCTGGGCTCTAAACTGTGGTATTGTTGAGATCTCCATGAACTGCACTTAAGAAGTACATAAAGAGTTTTAGTGTAGGTCGTGGATGTGCCTTGGAGCTTTGTGGAAATTACAACAAAATAAACTTACCTCTGCTTCTTGACCGGGAACTCTGAAGACAAACCCTTGACCAAGCCCGTGTCCCTTTTCACCAGCTGATTGGGCTGCGCTGGGGAGTTAGGCAGGGCGAGGGAGTCAGAGGACTCTGGAGCCCAGATGTGGGGTCCGACCCTCCTTCGGAAGTCCGCCTGGCAGAGTGGGGCTGAAAGAAGCCTAGTGTGAGCTGGTGTAAGTCAGGGAGAAGCCCAGCTTCACGAGCCTGCCGCGGAGCAGGGTGTGGGGGGCCCTGAGGCCCTGCCCTGGGCACTCGTGGGAGGCCATGAGGGTTGGCCTGAAGGGCACCTTAACCCCGGGCCACCACTGTGGCACCAGCCTGTGTCCCTGAATCTGCTCTCCTTTGCCCTGAGGGTCGGAGAAGCGGGCAGGGCCCTGTGCCCCAGAGGGAAGGGGGGTGTCCTGGCTTCTCAAGGGGCAGCCTGTGAGGTGAAAATTCGCTTGGAAGTGATTCACTAAGAAGTGTTCTGAGGAAAGCCAGGCGGTGGGATGGAGAAGCAGGCTGCGGAAGAGAAAGGCGGTGGGTGGGGCGGGCAGACCCAGAAGCGGACTGCGAGGTGAAGATTCCTTAAAAGCTGTTCGTTAGAAAGAGTTTTCAGCAATTTCAAACTAAGTGATGCACTGGTGCCGTGGTGGTGGCCACTGTGCTGCTTTAGCCCAGGCCCACAGGAGAGCAATGGGGATGACTGAGGTCACAGCTCAGAGTTACGCTCTTAGGAACGCGGGAGCTGGCACCTCAGTCATGGGTTGACAGCAGGGGTGTGCACCCCGGGTGCCCACTGTGTGCCCAGGGGACGAATGAGGGCCTTGGTCAGATGGAGAGACACGGATGCTGGCTGTGAAGACAGACCTGCAGGGGAAGCCAGAGAGCAGGGAAAGGGACCTGCAAGGGTCCCAGCTGAGCCCGTGGTCCCTCCACGGCAGGTCCACCCCAGCCAACCCTCCCTACAGCTCCGGGGGGTGTGAGGTGTAAGTCTGGCTTTAGCCTGGACTGGAATTTTGGGACCTGAAATTAACACTGTTACTACAGCCGAACGTATAGGAAAGAAATGCAAAATATTCACTTAGTAACTGTGTTAGCGTGTCATTTGGGGTGCTCCCTCTGTTCCTAATGTACTGAGAGGTCTTTTAAAAAGAATCATGAAGGGGTATTGAATTTTGTCTAATGTTGACTCTGCACAAGTTGACCCAATGCTGTGGTTTTTCTTTATAGATTTCTAATATACTAGATCATATCACTGGTTTCTGAAAATTTAGCTAGACTTGCAGTCCTGGCATAAAATCCACTTCATTGTGTCTTATTTTTAGACTCAAACCGCTAATATTTTGTTGACAGTTCTGTGTCTATGTTCATGTGGCGTTTGGTCGGTGCTTTCCTTGTAGTTTCTTTGCTGAGCAGTGGTGGTGACCCTGCGGCCGTGGCAGGCCCAGGGAGCCCTCTCAGTCAGCGTACCAGCCAGGTCACCGGCAGCTGAGCATCAGAGGTCAGCTGTTTCTTTCTAAACTAAAACCTCAGCATGCAGGTTTACTTGTAGTGTGAGCAGTTTGCAGTGAACAGGTGGGTTTGTGTTGCAATGTGCAGACTCGGTCTCTAAGTTTCATCATTAGGGTTACGGTTAGAGTAGGACTAGGGTTAGGGTTAGGCTGGGGGTTAGGCTGAGGGTTTGGGCTAGGGAAGTTGCTAGCCTAATAACTTCAACTGGGAAATATTCCTCCCTTTTCATGTTTTGGAAACACTTTTCAGGGTTTGTAATATTTCACCTTTAATAGTTGATGGCATTCTCTATACTGTCTGACCTCGAGGATTCCTTTTTGGAAGGCTGTGAAGTTTGAATTCAATTTCTTTTTTTAGGGGGCGTACAGGGCATTGAGCTCACCACCTGGCCCTGGTCATGCAGGAGCTTATTCCACTAAATCTTCAGCCCTTTCTTTATAGGCCTTTAATTTACTTATTTAATATGAGCGTTTGTATTGAAAATTCATTGAAGTTCCTGACATTTTACGCATACAATTTTTCATCATGTTCCTGTAATTTTCTTTAGGGTTGGCAGTAAAAATTCTCTGTTTAATTCTAGATGTTAATAATTTGGGTTTTTTCTATTTCAGCCTTGCTAGTGGTTTATCTATTGTATTGATATTTTCAAAGAACTAGTTTTTTGTTTCATTGATTTTTTTCTACTGTTCTTTTTTTCACTTTGATTGATTTCTGGTATGTTATTATTTTTATCCTTTTTTTGCAAGATATTATATTTAACAGGATATATTCTGTTTCTTTAAATTCTGAATGACGATTAAAATCATGCCACATTTTAAATGATGTCTTATTCGTACCATATTTTTCTTTCTCTTTTTTTTTAACATTTACTTTTTTTCTTTCTTTCTTTCTTTCTTTCTTTCTTTCTTTCTTTCTTTCTTTCTTTCTTTTTTTGAGACAGGGTCTCTATGCAGTTCAGGCTGGCCTCGAGCTCACTTTGTAGCCCAGGCTGGTCCTGAACTCGAAACGATCTTCCTGCCTCAGCCTCCCGAGTGCTGGGATTACAGGCGTGAGCCACCACGCCCGGCTACCATATTTTTCTTGCACAATTTTTTTTTCTTACATTGTTTCTTTTTAGGGCTGTATAATGTGCTTTCTCCTAGCATATTTTTAAACTATACTATGTATTTCCTGAGCCATCCCTTCCACAGCTCTCCCCCACTTCCTCCTCAGAGCTGGACTGAGGGTTCTCTGGAACTGCACTGAATGAACACAGCTGTCATCTAAACTTCCCTCGATGGTCTGACTTGTTCTGGCTTCCTGGATTCTGTATCATCTATCTGGTTTACCCCCTGTGTTACTGAGTCCATCATTAGCTTACTAAAACAGGACCTGGTAGAAACTTTGCTACATGACTAAAGACACCTTTCTTAGGTCTCCACATCTGAATGAGTAGCTAATGGTTGGTCATATTAATTTACACTAAAAACAATTTCCTCATGTTTTGAATATTACACTGCTTTCTTTAGTCTTTCTTTAGTCTGATGTTAGTGTAATCATTAAAACTTTGTAGGGAAGCTGTTCACCTATTTCCTGAAAAGTATTTCAGATCTATTTTTGTTAGATTCTTAAATTTTCTGAGAATGTTACATTGTCTTATCCTTTTAAAAAAAGGAGAAAAAAGAAAGTTTTAACACTTGACCACCATTTGAACCTTTCCAGTTTGAAGACTTAGAGAATTCTTTCATTATTAGATTTGATCATTTTCCCCTCCATTAGGAGTGGCTGAGGGAGGGCAGGGACACAAGGAAAAAAAAAAGATACACTATTTCCCTCTCCATTAAAACTCTTATAACTTGGATGTTGGATATTATTGTTTTGTCTCATTTGCATCTGTATTTTGTTATATTTCCTTCTATTTTTAAAAGCTCTTAAAATTTATTTTAAAGGGAATAAAACCAATACAAACAAACTAGGGTAAGAGATACAGGCCTAAAAAATTACAAGATCAACAATAGTTACCATAATGCCTTTTGATGTCTTGAAAATAGTTGCAGATAACTTTGGGCATAGTCAAAATCAAACAGAAAGAATAGAAACAATAAAAACCAAACAATGAATGCAATAAAAGACTTCAAAACAAGCCTATAGTAGATCCATTGCTATCATAATATACCTTGTTATCTTTGAAATAGCTGCTCCTGCCATTGGATTTGACATAAACAAAACAAAGAGAATAAAACCCAACCCAATGAAACAATCAAAATGATACAGAACTTCCAAAACAAGGCCATAGCAAGTCAACAACGGCTGCAGCCCTCAGAAGGAGACCTGCCTACATGCCACACTGCTACCGCGTCCTCTGAACCCACAATCAGAGCCCCGGCCCTGGCCCTGCAGGGTTAGGGAAGCACCACAGCACCAAGGCATCCAATTGCATTTCACCTGCACAGCTATCACCACAGCTGTGTTTCTCCAGAGAAGCCAGTTGCTTATGGCGAAGGGTGGGGGATCACTACTTCTTGTCTGACAGCCCGCGCACCAGAAGGGGCCGGGGGCCGGCTGTGCACGCAGGGTGCTGGTTCCCAGACTGGGTTTGCTGGCTGATGTGTCCATTGCTCTCTCTACCCCTGGTCTGTGAATGGCGCTGAGCCCCGGGCAGAGGCTGGGGTCTGCTTATTTCAGTCCGGCAGGGGTGCGCTGCAGTTGGTCAGATGCTATTTTTATCTTTTGAGACACTGTTTCACTATGTAGCCCAGGCTGGCCTTGAAATCACAGCGATCCTCTTGTCCCAGCCTGTCAGGTGCTGGATTACAGCCACGCACCACCATACCTGGCTTGCTCTTGTGTGTGTTATTTCCTTTTTTCTCCATGTGTTGTTCTCTTTTTTAATTTCTCAATGTGGGAGCTCATGTTATTATTATTATTATGTACCAGGGATTGAACTCACAACCTTGCACTTGCCAGGCAGGTGCTGTGCTGCTGAACTATATCCCAGGCCAGGAGCTTGTATTATTGACATAGACCTTTCTTTTCCTTAATATGAACCAGTAGTGTTTCAATTCTGAGAATTCCTTTAGCTGCAGCTGCAAATGTTGATATGTTGTATTTTAATTAGATCAGTTCAACAGTTTCTAATTTCTCTTGAGACTTTGTTTTTAAATTTTTAAAGTCTTATTTGGTAATAGAAGATCACATGCCTTGCACTTCGCAACTATAGACAAGTGTCACTGGTTGCAGTATTGATTAAATAATTAGAAAAAGATAAGCGACTTTTTAAAACTTTTTCGATACAATTCAGAATTTTACAGCATGATCTGCTCCTTGTTTTAATAATAAGTTTACAATTCACTGATGAGTGTTATGTTGGGGAGATATTGCCAGAAACTTTTTTTAACCTATGGATTATTTATAAATGCATCGTTTGGCAGGAAGGGAAAAGAAAAACCATGATGAGAAAAGAAGGAAAAACATAAGCAAAGCTTTTGTAAATAAAGAGGAGAAGAGGGGATGAAGGAAGGGAGGGCAATGGAAAAAAAGAATCAAGTTATATCACGTACAGGTACAAATTCCTTGTGATGAGTAGGATCATTTTGTATATATAAATGTATAATAAACTCAAAATTGAATAGTAAAAGAAAAAGAAATGGGTCATTTCATTTTTAAGTGTTGGGGATTTAAAATTCTTTTTGTTATTGATTCTGACCTTGTTCTATGATTATCTGGTGACATACATTGTGTAATTTGTTTGTTTCAATTTGCTAATTTTTTAATAAACTGTGGTAGATTCAACTTGTTAAAAGTTACGTGGGGGCTTAAAAATGATGTGTACCCTGCTGTTGTTGGGTGGAGCATTGCACTAGGTCAGCTGGGTCCAGCTGTTGAGGGGACCGTACAGTTCTGTATTTCAGGGTTGAAGTTAATCATGATGGTTGGTTTGTAGCTGAGTTAATGATAATAAAGCCACCTAGATGGGGGTCTCAGAGAGGCTCAGTGTGAGGGTCATGAGACAGAGCACCGATTAAAGGTTTGAACTCTCAGCTTCTCCAGGGTGTGGGGGTGCTGGCTAGAGAGAAATCTGGGGGGAATTCTCAAACTTTGAAATGTCACGAGTGTTCAGGGTGATAAGGATGTCCACGTGCTAGCGTGTGGTACACTCGGACTCCGTTGGACAGAAATGTCTCTCTGTAGGGCCGTTGCAGCTCACCCTCTGCACCTTTTCATCTGGCTGCTTATCTCTATGATACTCACTGCAATAAAGTGATCAATGTATGCAAAAGTGTCTGCGTTTCGTGAGCTGTTTCAGTGAGTTACCGAACCCAAGGGCAGCATTGTGGGAACTTCCAATTTACACCCATTTGGCCAGATGTGTGAATAGCCTGAATTTGCAGTGGACATCTGAACTAGGGCAATCATGTGACACTGAGCCCTTAGCCTGTTGGGTTTGCTGTCTGTGTAAACAGCATCAGAATTGAATTAAATTACAGGATACCCAACTGGTGTTTGCAGGGAATTGATTTTTGGTGTTAGAAAATACCTAAGTTTATGATATTAAGAAAAACAAATCAGTGAAACAGACTAAAAATGCAGAAACATACAAATATAAATAACAATACATGACAAAAGTCTTACTTAAATTCTTTGGGAGAAAATATAAACCACAATATATCATATATATTATGTATATTATATAATGTATCTGTTATTCATTTGAAATAAAACAAAGACAAATTGATAAGTGCTCCTGTGGTCAGTGTGGCAGTACAGGATTGGAGTTACAGCTCAGCAGCACAAGCTTGCTCGGCAAGCATGAGGCCGTGAGTTCAATCCCCAGTAACCCCTAAAAGGCAATGTGTTTATTTTTATAATTTAAGGAGCAAAACAAAAGAGCCCTGCAAAGTGACGGGAAGGAGACTGCGGTGAAGAAAAGGGGGGAGCGGACAGAAGGGGCTGGTGGGGGGAGAGCAGGTGAGTAACGTGACCGAGATGTGGCACAGGGCAGTTCCCCAAGCTGACTGTAATCACAGCATACCACAAATACTACTAATAATACTTAAAACCGTATAGCAAGTTACAGTACAGGGCATGAGCTTGAAGAGAGGCCTCACAGGGACTCCAGAGAAGATGGCGATCGATAAGTAGCTCTCTCTGAGAGAAACAGCTCAGATGCTGGAATTTATTACCATGGAGAAGACTGGATGAAAAGAGAGGGATTCTCATGACCAGGAAGAAACTAAGGAAAAAAAAGAAAAGAAAACGAAAAAGAAAAAAAGGAAAGGAAAGGAAAACATGGATGCAAGCCTGGAGCCAGACGCGCCCTGGCCAGAGCCAGTCAGACTCGTGGTCCTGGTGCTCTTGCTGGAGCTGCAGCCATGCTGAAGTCGGGGTTGGCGAGCCCAGGGGAGAAGAGAGCCGGTGTGGAGGCCTGCACTAACCTGAGGTGAGTGCTCAGAATTTGGTCCTCCCAGGAGAGGGGGATGACCGACTGGACGACGTATTGGAGTTGGGCAGGCCGGGCCTGAACAAGGAATAGCAGTGACTTCAATTGACTGCTTCCTGCCCAGAGCAGACTGGTGGGATCTGCTTGGGCTGGGTCACGCCCCTGGCCAGGACCCGATAGCCAGAGACGAACTTGTCCCTGAAGTTGCCCGGTACCAGTTCTGCCCACGTGGCACACACTAAGGTGGTGAAGGCCCCTGCAGGTTGACTGGCTTGGAGGGGAGGGGCCAGCCTACACGGCCCCTGCTTGCACCTTAGTGACCAACAGCAAAATGGAGAGGGCAGCAACCCCTGGCCAGCACGCTTCAGAGGAGCCATAACCAATACGGAAGGGCCGGGACCTCCACCATACACCTGTATGGAAGAAACAAGAAACATGACAAGAGAAAGAAACAAGGAAAAGCTTCCAGCCAACCCAGAGAATATGGGTCCAGGAGAGGTAAATACAGACCAGATGGAGGGCAGAAAACATGCAATATCGGACACAGCATCGGCTGACGTAAAGAAATACCTTTGTGGCATTATAGGCGAACTCAAAACTGAAATAGTAATACAAGTAAAGCAAGATATAAGAAAAATTAATGAAAGAAATGCTAAGCACCTCTCTAGAAGATACAGATGGAAGAAAGGAGGAACTAGGAAGAGGAGAGAAACCTTCAATGAAGAATATAAAAAACTCTAAAAAAAAGAATATAAAAAATCTAGAATACATGAAACAGTTCAAAGAGATTACCAGGAAATTAAAAACTCCATTGAAAGCTGGCAAGTTTGCCTGAAGGAAACCAAAGATAGATTAACAAAACTTGAAAATAGGTTTACATTGTGTGATCATGAATGGAAAGATCTCTTAAAAATAACAAGGAACCAGGAAGTACGATACAAAGGCTAGAAGACGACAAGAGGATCTATGGTTTAAGAATAAAAAATGTGAGTGAAGAAGCAGGGGTGAACACAGATGAATTACAAAGGTTATTTACAGAAGTAATAAGGAAAACTTCCCAAGCATAGGAAAAGGAAATGATATTCAGATGTATGAGGCATACAGAACTCCAGCCAGCTACAACCAAAACAGAGCTACACCCAGACATATAGTGATCAAGATCTCAGAAATTCATCACAAGTATAGAATATTAAAAGCCATCAGAAAAAAGAAACAGACCACCTATAAATGAAAACCCATTAAAAACACTATAGCCTTCTTGACACAAACCATCAAATCAAGAGCTTGGAGTGAAGTATTCCAAGTCCTGAAAGAAAATAACCTCCAACCCAGATTGATGCATCCTGAAAAACTGTCTCTCAAAATTAATGGAGAAACAAGATGCTTCCATGACAAAGAGGAACTGGGGGAATTCGTGATCATCAATCCAGTCCTACAGGATTTCAGGAACAGTGGCAGAGAGGCCTCAATGAATGGGGCAGACAGTGGAAGGAAGGAGAAAAGCAGACAACCAATGGCAGAAAACTAGCATAGCAGAGATGAGACAGAGAAGGTTGGCTATAATCTCTAACATAGATGGCCTTGATGCACTAACAAAAAGAAACACAGATAGAGCAGATCTAGAGATGGGGTCCATGGAGATGCTCTGTATAGGAAATATAATTAACCTGAAATAGGGTTAATACACTGACAGTCAAAGATGAGAAAACAATGCTCTAAGTGACAGGGAACCAGAGAGAAATAGGGACAGCTCGTCCAGCAGCTGCAGATAGGTTGGAAAATCATGCCACTTTTGTGCAGTGGAGAACTCCTCAGCTATAAGGAAGGGAAACCTTGAGGCTTTTGTGGGTAAAGAAATACAGCTCAAGATCAAGCTCAGGGATAAAAAGGTTTAGAACCACTTAGGTAATAGCAGGCTGCCCGCCTAATCTCAAAACTAAAGGAGTTAGTGGGACCCAAAGTGTACAAAGCACCCTGTGAAAGTGAAAGGGGAGGAATTGTCTTAAAAGGGAAGGCAGAGGATATTGGTAATAGTGTATCAGGTTTAAAAGCCACATTATTCTCATCACTCTCTTTAGTCTGATTGTGTTCTGTTCCGGTCTGTCCACTCGTACTAGATTTGAGGGCACAGACAGCTATTCCAAAAATAGCAGGATATACTGTGATAGCCATCCTTAATTCCTATTAACTTAAATGGAAGCCCTGTATAACTTACACTGTCCTACTATGACTGACCTTATTTGAATCTGGTTTCTTAGATTGCTGTTTTGTCTTGACTGATTTTATTTGAATTTGGTATGCTTGATAGTATCAAGTCTGAGAGTAGAGGCCACTACTCTGAAGATGACATGATTCACTGGATACCCACTCTGGCTTGACTATTACCTGCTTTTGAAGTCTTATAATGTCTACGATGTTTTGTTTTTATTAATATTGCTATGTGCTGCTATGTTCAATTAGACATTATGGCCATTGTTGACTTCCTTATTGTCTGGTCCTAAAGACCTAAAATGCCTTCATCATCCTGTTCTGATCAGTTTATACTATTTTATTTTGTATGAATTCATTGTATGTGAAGACATGAACAACTATTTGGAAAAAAACAAGAGACAACATGATAGACAGTGAAGATCTCCATTTTTCTTGCTTTGAAATCTGTGTCTCTTACATTGTTTTCTTATGTTCTGTTTTGCTCCATTTTGTTCTGTTTAATTTTACCCTCTTTAAAATAAAATAAAAACACCATATAGTAAAATAAAAGCCTTCTAAATAAGCATTATTTATAAAAGCAAAAGATTCAAATGTCTAAAAATTTATCAACATTAAGTAAGACCTGACATATGTATGAATGGCCTTTAAAGGGAAGGTGGGCAGGAATTTCTGAAAATCCTCAGGATTAATTTTGTTTAGAAAGGAGTACGATATAGAGGACAATCTATGAAAACCCCACAACCCACTACATGCATGTGTGTGCAGCTTCCCTGTAAGAACCCACATGAGTAATGAAATTCATGGATTTTCTTATTTTTATTTTTTTAATTCATAGATTTTCAAGTTTATTATATAGAATGGTGACATATTTGCATGTAACCTATATAAATCCTTTTGTATACTTAAACATACCTTTAGATTATTGTAACACATAATTCCATGTAAATGCTATGTAAATTGTTATTCAGGGGATAATACCAAAAAAGTCTGTTCATGACTAGTACATATTCAATTATTCCCAAAATATTTTTTCATTCATGGTTGGTGGAATTTGTCGATATGGAGGCCCAAATAAATGCTTTCAGGTACATAAATAGCACAGAAATATTTCTGGAACACCCATGTCAAATGGTTGTCTCTAACTTGAGGACTACAGGAGGTTACACTTCTTTACTACCCAAACTGTTGGTGAATATAACCCTCAAATCAGTGGTCAATGTGGCCCCGTCCACCCCATGGCCACACGAACAGTCAACACATAGAGGAAGGTGGTGTCTGTCTTTACCATGACATCTAATAATGCATTTAAGGAATTTTAGCTTTTAATCTGGACAATCTGGGCTTCCTGGAAGATTCTAGTGCTCCAGAGAAAATAACCCATCCAACAGGGGAGACAGCTTTGGGACTGTTTCTGATGGAAGCTAAGACTGACTGCTGGCTGATTTACGCTCCTAGAATACAGAAGCACCACGCAGCGGCACTCGGCAGTGGGCAGTCGTATTTTCGAGAGTGACTGAGTTTGATGACGAAATTTCGTTGCCTGTCGCCTCATATTGGGGGGAAAGAGGACCAACTCTGACATCCATGAGACTTACTGGTGTCATATAACATTCCTACGGTCTGGTAAATGGTCAGTGACAAGTTTGTGATGACTTGGTAAAGACAGGACTTCTAAGGATGTGAACCCTTTGGAAATGAACTTTTGGGTCACCTCGCTGATTAAAAGGAATTCTGACCCACTGAGGTGCTGGGGCAGGGTTAGCAATCGTTCCCAGGCTGGTGGGAGAAGGAAACCTTAACTATTAACGTGAAAAAAGTCTTAGAGACAGAAGCACAGTGGAAGGACAGAGGAGTGTTTGTAAAGGTGAGCCTTCGGCAGGCCAAGCATAACAAACAAAAAACCAAAACCGAGATTCCATGGGAATCCTTGTAAGATCACCGTGTCAGCAGGTTTTGATGAGTCTCCTTTTGCTGGCCAAACTCAGCCCTCTTCTTTTATGATTTTCATCTTCACAAAAAGTCATCACGTGTTTTAAGGCATCAGCCTTGCAGAAATCAGTTACTTTTCTAGAGAGTCAGCAATTTATGGGAAATACTCAATGTTCAATTTATTTGGGGGGACCAGAAAGAACTGCTTTTTTTCCTGTTTGCTTGTGTTTGTGAGTCAGGGTGTCACTCTGTGGTTCAGGGTGGTCCTGAAGTCACTATGTAATCCTGCTTCAGCTTCCCCAGTGCTGGGATCACAGGCCTGCGCCACCACACCTGAACAAGAACTACTTTTTTAAAAAAATTTTTCGTTTTTGTTTGGTACTGGGCATCGATGACCCTGTGCTTGCGGGGCAGACACTTAGGCTGCTGAGCTAAATCCCGAGCCCTTTTTAAAACAGTTTTTGAGACAGGGTCTTGCTATGCAGTTTAGGCTGGCCTTGAGCTCACTTTGTAGCCCAGGCTGGTCTCGAACTTGCAATGATCCTCCTGCCTCAGCCTCCCGAGCGCTGGGATTACAGGCGTGTGCCACCGTGCCTGGCTCCAAGAAGCACTTTTTAATGGAATCTTCATGCATTTTATTGGCAATACTGTCCACTTGCTGTTCACTATACGTTCAGAATTTGGCCCCTTTCATCTCCATGCAAACAATGCTACCGTCTATCACCTGAGCGTTACATGGCTCTTTAACTAGACTCTACTTCAAAACGTGTTCTTTTTATGAAATTCTTAACATAACAGCCACGCTGATGTGGTTACATACAAGTCAGGTTAAATTATTCCTCTGCTTCAAACCTTCCAAACTTTGCCCTCTGACTTGGAGTAAAAATAAATGTCTAACAATAGCCAGCAAAGCTCCCAAGAAATGATACCTCATGTTTCCCTGTGACTCAGCGTATGCTGTCCGCTCTAGTTCTCTTTTTTTAGTGAAATATCTGGCACTTTTGGGAAATGGATGATCCTTATAGATATCAGACCTCCTTCCTGGAAGGGCTTGGTGACCCACTGAAAAGAGGGTGATCTGCAGAAGTAACTTCCCCGGAAGCCACCTCTCTACAGGGACTGAGCACAGGGAGGGCCCCGTGCCAGTCCAACGCTGGACAACTGCCACGGTGACACTGTTCCAACGTCCAGACTCCCCGTGGGGCTGGCTAACATCGAGGTTAGTCTCCTCACTCAGCTTTGCTTCTCCTTCTGTGCTTTCCTAGGCCTTTATCCTAATAATTAGCTCGTACCCCAAACACAGTTTCAGCATTAGCTTCCAAAAGTCCGGATGTGTTATCTTATTATTGCTACAACAAATAGGATACAATCAACTCAAACAGTGAGAGCCTTTACTTTGGTTTACAATTTTAGAGGCTTCAGTTTGTGATCGACTCAAACGCTTTGGGCCTGTGCTGAGCAGCACCTCACAGCAGAGGTTTTAGTAGCACAAAACCTCCTGGTCAGGAAGTGAAAGAGAAAAAAGAGGGGTTCAGGTCCCGGGGTGCATTGAGGTGGCGGGGTGCTTTTGAATGGAAAACATTATACCAGGCCTTTCTTTCTTGTCTTTTTAGTCTTTGTTACTGGAGATTTAAAACAAAATAATTTTGGTTAGTGGAGACTGAACTGAAGGCCTTAACCATCCTGCACAATCCGTCCACCACTGAACGACATCCCCAGCCTCTGAAAATCACTTTATTTTTTGAGACAGGGTCTCACTATGTAGTTCAGCTCAGCTTTAAACGTATAGCCCAGGCTGGCCTCAAACTTGCAATCCTCCTGCCTCCCCATGTTCAGCAGCTAGAATTACAGACATGTGCCCTCTACTGGGTTTAGGTTCCACCCCTGAGAGATTTTATGATTCCAGTAGTGAGCTGCTGGGAACCATGCATCTAATACATGGATCATTTGAGAACATTCTCAACTGTAGCGCCAACCTGCAACACTTACGCTGTGGGTTAGACCAGGAATGAACTCCAGAGCTCACGCACACTCCAGAGGGGCTTTTCAGCGGTGGATGGCTCACCAGGGTCCTAGAGCTATCTTGATATGGGGGTCCTAGGTGGAGACCAGTCCTTGGGCAGATGAGCCGGAAGGCCTAACTCTCTTCCTGGCTGCTCTCTTCTCTCTGCCCCTTGGCCTCCATGCAGGGACCCACAGCTTTCTTCCTGTCTGCTGTTTCTACTTAGGACCAGCCAGTGATGGGTTGAAAAAAAAGAGCAAAAAGAAATCTCCCCTCCTGTAAGTTGTGTCTCAGTGATGAGAAGGTAACTCCAACAATACACTAATCAAAGTCCTCCTGCTGATGGGAGGGAGGAGAGTGACTGTCAAGCCGGGGGCTTGATGGTGGGGCCTCAGGATGCTGCGGGAGGGACCTGGGGAGGGCTGAGCATGAGCAGGGAAGAGGCTGCTCTGGGGCTGGGAGGCGAGGACAGCATCACCAGGACTCTGGAAAGTTCACTGGTGCAAGGCAGAAGATATGAGGCGTAGGAGAAAAACGGACCTTCCCTCTCAGCGGTAAAATGGGGAAGTCAGGGGACCTCCACGGAAGAGGACAGGAAGTGGACTCCCCCAGGCACGAACAGAAAATCTGGCTCCACACCAGCCCCTCCCGCTGCTCTGCACGTGTTCCACTTCAGTCTGTTCTTATTATTTATCAGGCGAGCTGAGGAAATGGGAGGTCCCGGGCTACAGAACTTTGATGCACGAAGATCAGCAGCCCCGTGTGGTGTGTGGCTCCTCCTCTGGACCTTCCCTCTGCCACTGTCCTGCAGCTGGCCATTCCTGCCTGCGCAACAAAGTCCAGAGCCGCAGCCTTCATAGGACCCACAGGTAACTGGGTTGGAGAGGCCAGCGAGACCGGGCGGGCGGGAAGTTAGCCGAAGCAGGAGGAGGGAGACTTCGGGTCTTGGGTGGGAGGGATTGGAAGAAATATTAGAGGGCAGAGTGGAGTTTGATTGCCAAGTGGGGATTCGAGACTCCCTTCTCTTTCATATCCTCTATATTCGTTTTTTGGAGGAGGGCACGGGAAGTTGAATTCAGAGCCTTGTGCTTGCCAGGCAGGCACTTGTGCCACTGAGCCATATCCCTGGCCCTTTCATATATTCTAGGTTGAGTTATGGTGGTCAGTCTTGAGTCACAGACTAACACTCAAACACAGGCTCGTCTCTGGCCCAATTTTAATCTTTTCTTCACTCTGAATTCTAGCCACAACCCTAAGCTCAATTCTGACCTCAGCTCCTCCTTCCCAACCTCAGAATCAATTTCCACCTAAACACCCACCTCAGCCCCCTCAGTGCCCTCTTCTTCCAGTTTCTGTGCCCAGCGTAGACCTGACTCCACCCACGACCTTCCACGCGGACTGGTGCCAATCCTACCACGCGGTACAGCCTCAGCTTAACCCCAGCCCACAGCCCAAACCTGACCCTAAGTCTACGGATGGCTGCAGACACAGGGCGTTGGGTCACACTCCTAGTGACAGCTCGCTCTCAGCCGCACCGAAGCCCAGTCCCCTCCCAGCCGCGCTCTGCGGGCCTCTGCTCCGGCTCCGGCTCTGCTCCACCCTGGGCTCTCGGCTTTTCGTTTCAGCTCTGACAGCCTCGTAGGCTGTCTGTTTGTCAACAATGGACCCAGATTATGAAAACTTACAGAAGTTTGGGAGCGAGATGAAAAACTCCGGGATTAGAAAAGGTAAGCGGAGGGAGAAACAGTCCCTCCTGGAGTGCCCTCACCATCTGTGTGGCAGGAGGCCTGCTGGCGGGTCTTGTTGCTCTGCTGCCCTTGTGAGGGCCCATTGTGGAGAGGATTTAAGGTCCTCAGACAGACAAACACATATTAACCTGCTTCCCTGAGCTCTGTGGAGAGGGGAGGAGAGGGTACATCGCAGCTTTGAGTTTGGAAGAGAAGCGTTAATTTGTATGCCAGCCATGTGGGTGTGTGTGAACCTGCTAAGGACCTGTCTCTCTCCAGCTACTCTGTCCTTGTGCTGCTTCTCCCCACTCTGATAAGACCTCAGGTATACATTGTCTCTGTACATGTCTGTGGATATGAGTCCCCTGGGGTGGGTAGGTAAGTTTCCAGGGGTGTGAGTCACTGACTGAGGGCTTGTGCCAGTCCCAGAAGGGTCAAAGGTGGTCATCGCTTTCCCCAAACTCCTCATCCAGCTCTCATCCCAGCAATACCAAGGCTCAGCGTTCAACCCTGAGTGATGAACCCCGGAGCTTGCTTTTCCTCCTGTCTGGGTCACAACCTGGGTTCTCCTTGTAATGAAACTCTTTCCTCTCAGCCGCACCTCTCCAGAGCGCGCTGGGGAATTGCTGCCGTGGGCCCTACCTCGCCCAGATCTCCCTGGGCCTCAGTCTCCTGCTGCTGGTAGCTGTCTGTGTGATTGGACACCAAGGTGGGTTCCCGGGGTGGGCAGGGAGAGGGGACTCATGAGAGTGAGGCAGTGCTGGGGTGACTCTGAGGACCACGCAGGCGCAGGGAAGGGCACCGTGGGCAGTTATGGGGCGATCCTGAGGACTATGATAATGGCATTGCTGTCAGCAGCTGGACGGGCCATGGTGGGACAGCTGACAAGGGCAGAGGTGGGGACAGTATGGAAATAATTCGGGACCCGTGGTCTGGGTGGCCACTGGTCATGCCACCTATGAGTTGTCTAATTCTATCACCTTGTCCTAAAGCTTAGGGCCTTTTTGTGCAATAGTGGATAAAAACAGGGCCCGTCCCATCCTCACTGAGCCAGTGCAAGGGCCAAACGAGACACCGTGTGTGAAGGAGGACTGGACTGGCGAATCTTAATTTTGATCGTTCCCTCCTCTTTGCCAGGTTCTAATTTGCGGAGAGATCTGGTCACCTTGAGCACAAATTTCAGCAACTCCAGCTCACACCACGAGGTTAACATCCAGCAACTGACTTCCAACTGTGAGCCAGACTTGAAAGGGGCCCTGCAGCGAGGTGGGTCTGGATGGGGGCGCTGCCTCCTGAGCTCAAGCCCTTTGTTGTCCTCAGGCGGGGCACTGCAAAACGCCATAAAGTCTTTGAAAGCAGAGGTGGAGGACCATGGGGAGGAGCTGCAGGCAGGTGAGAGCCTCTGGTATCTTCAGCACGGTGGGGGGCAGGCTGGGGAGCAGCTTCCTGGTGCTGAGCCCCGTCCTCTCCAGGCCGCAGCTTGAGCCAGAAGGTGACTTCTCTGGAGAGCACTCTGCAGCAAAAGGAGGCGGCATTCAAAGCAGGTCAGATGGCTGTTCCCTTGCCTCTGGGCACAGGCCTCAAGGGGCACAAGGTTCTTGGGCTGTGTCCTGTGCAGGATGCCTGAGGGGCAGGAGCTCACTGAAGGTCACACACAGAGCATGATTCCCACTCGCATCTGTTTCTGTCTCAGATCAATCTCAAATTCTCCTACGAATCCAGGAGCTGGTGAAAGAATTACGGTCCCTGAGTTGTGAGCTGGCTTATTTCAAGAGCAATGGTGAGGAGGAGGAGTAAGAGTGTGACCCGCCTCTCTTTATAGCCGGTGGCCCACTGGGCATCATCCCAGCTCCTCCATCCTCCCTTCCCCTGCCAGGCTCCAGGACCTGCTGCCCCCTTAACTGGATAGCTCACGAAGGCAGCTGCTACTGGTTTTCTCAATCCAAGAAGCCCTGGGATGAGGCCAACAAGCATTGCCAGATGGAGAACGCCCACCTGGTGATGGTGAACTCCTTGGGAGAGCAGGTGAGGCCCCACCTGGCCTTTATTTGAGGCTGGCTGGTCTAAGGGAGAGATCATCATCTTATTCTTCTCTCCCCAGATATTTATCCAGAGCAACACGAGAAGCATAAACACCTGGATGGGTCTAACTGACCGAAGCGGGTCCTGGAAATGGGTGGATGGGTCTGACCTTGACCCAGGCTTTAAGTGAGTGTGCTTGTTTGCCGAGCGTTGTGTCCTGTGTCTGGGACTGTGCCCATTTTGCAGCCTGTGGCCTTGGGGTCAGACAGACTCCCGGGGATGGGGCTGAGACTGACTTCCTTGTCTGCATGGTTTTCTCTTGTCTGCAGGAACTGGAGCCCAGAGCAGCCAGATAACTGGTCTGGGCACGAGATGGGAGGAGGCGAGGACTGTGCCCACTTCAACAGTGATGGCAGTTGGAACGACAACGTGTGTAAGAGAGCCTTCCACTGGATCTGTGAGACAGAGCAGAGCCAAGTCTGACAGCAGCCTCCTTGACCGATCGATTGCCTCAATGCCTCGAGATGCTAAGATCAACGAATAGGAACCCTCCTTTCTGGGGGCCTTTACTTCCTTGGGGAGTTTCACCTAGCATTTAAAGGAGAGGGAAATGCTGGTGTCTAAGAAAGGCACTGTGAGATTAACAGGGTGAGGAGAATGAATTTCATGACGTTTTGTAGCATGCAGTTTATTATTGCAGCCTTTTTTCTTAAAGTAAAAGGATTAGAAATAGTCAAACGTCCTATGCACCATCTGGGTCCTGGGGGTTTGGAGCAGGGCGGGGCCTGGCTGGCCAGAGGAAGATGTGGGCAGGAAGTGACATCCGGAGAACAGAACAGGCTTTGGGCTGATGGCCTGGTAAGGAGCCTGGTTTGTCATTTGCAGGTGTGGGAGCCTGGGCAAGTTACTTTGTATTAAATATAGAGGAAGTACCAGGCACAGTGGAGTACACCTGTAAATCTAGCCGCTTAGGAGGCTGAGTCAGGAGGATCACAGATTCAAGGCCAGCCTGGGCAATCAGCAAGACTCTCTCAAAATTTGAAAAACAAAAGAGTTGGAGATGCAGCCCAGCATTCCACAGGTGCAATCCACAGTACAAAACAAACAAATAAATAAAGATAAAAATGGCTGAAATGGAATAAAAATTTTTTGACTCAACACCTTGGAAAAAGAATAGTGAAATAAATCTTTCCAAGCAGAAGAAAGGAATTTATAGAAATACAAGCAAGAAATAACGAGCTAGGGCACACAAATATAAACAGGACTAGTAAAAAAAGTTACTAACTCTGGAAAAGTTGAATAAAATACATATGCAGGAGAATAAAGGAGCTTCAGACACTAATTTATACTGCAGAAAGGGTTCATATGTTCAGACACAGAAGGAACATCAGGAGGAGCAGCACTGTTACCGTCAGCGGTGTGAGTCTTAGGTGGCTCTTGGTAGAAGTTGCAAGTTCAAATCTCATAACTGGTAAGTCGGAAAAGGATGGGAGGGGACTGGAGGAAGGCAGGAAAAAAGAGGGAAAAGATCAGTATAAATACATAAGAGCACAAAATACAAGGCTAGTTATAAACAGACCACACACCAGCCCTTGACGCATGCTTAAGTAAATACAAAAGAATTAGCTGTTCCATGAATGTTACAGCGCAATGCAACTAAAAAATCAGGGGCAAAAGAAACCACAGAAACTATACAAACAAGTGAATATTAAACAGCGTACTTCCGAATAATCAGTGGGTCACAGGTGAAGTTAAGGGACTATTAGAGAGTTGTAACAATCAAATGATAAGGTCAGTGTGACATACTGACACAAGGAAAGCCACCCCGAGGGGGAAGTTTATAATGCTGAGCCCAAAGAAATAGTGATACCCGTCAAGTCCTAGAAAACACAAGAATAATTCAAACAAAAACATTACACAAGAAAGGAAATTATAAAGCCTAGAGCAGAAATTAGTGAAATTAAGGCAAAAAGACAAAGAATTACTAAATTGAAGAATTGATTCTTTGAAAGAATACACAAAATAGATAAACTTTTAGTCAATCTTATCAAGATAAAGATCAAAATCCAGGAGATGAGAGGTGACAGTGAAAGCCAGAATGGATTCTGCTGAAATCCAGACGATTCGTAACTACCTTAAGAACCTATACTTGAATAACACGGAAAATTCAAAAGAAGTGGATAGATTCCTAGACACATACACACTGCCTAGATACATATCAACTACCAAAGCTGAATGGAGATTTAAAAATCCTGAATAATCCATTATCAGTCAATGAAATTGAAAAATTAACAACCTCCCCCAAAAAACTACCAAATAAGAAAAGCCAAGGACCCAACAGATTCACTGCTGAATTCTGTAAGAACATTACAGAAGATCTAACACCAAAGACTCCTCAAAGTTCTCAAAGTCTTTAATGAAATCGAAAGGGAAGCAGTACTGCAAAAGTCATTTCAGGAAGTAAGCATTACCCTAGTTTCAAAACCGAAAAAGAGACTAGGTCAGTCCCTTCCGTGAACGTGGGCGCCACAGTGCTCGGGGAGGTGCTAATGAGGAAGGCGGCAGACCGCACTCCGACACGAGCTGCACCCCGTTCCGCTTCGCATGGCCCCAACTTGTCCCAGCCTGTGACCTGGTCTCTTGACTTTAGCACCTGTAACCTCAGAGACCCTGCGTTCGACCAAGTATGGCCATCAAGTGTGAAAAGTTTCAGCAGGTATGTGGAAAGCCAGGAGAAAAACCTAGAGTAGAAAAGGCCAGAGAAAGAGGACAGGTCTCTTCCAAAGTGCCTCTGAGCTGTCCAGCAGGATATACGCCCTGCGTTCTGAGTGAATCATTTTTCTGGGCTTGGAGGGACCATTACGAAGATTTAAAGTCCTCAGAAAAACAGAGGGAGACCTCTCTGGGTGAGACGCGTGCATTGAAGCAGTTGGATTTAGGGAGTAAATTCACTAATTCCAAAACCCAGGGTCTTAGTTATTTTTCTCTGGTTGCTGGGACAAAACACACAGCACCCAAAGTGACAGAAGGAAGCATTTATTTAGCTCACGGTCTGTGGAGGTTTCGGCCCCTAACCAGCTGGCTCCAAAGCAGGATGGCACGGCACAGGGCGACACTTCAAGGTGCCAGAGGGCAGCAGGGCAACACCAGCAAAAAGGGAGGGGTGAGCAGGCGGCGTGCCTCAGGTGGGGTGCACCACTCACCCCGTCTCTGTGCCCTCCTCTTGCACAGACCAAGGATGTTTACAAAGTGAGGACCCTGCTGGATCACTTAGTTAAACTTCCTGTTGTTTATTATTTATTTATTGGTACCAGGGATCGAACTCATGACATTGCACTTGCCAGGCAGGCACTGTGCCACTGAACTATCTTCCTGGCACCTACCTAGTTATACTTCTGACCTTCTCAAACTGACACAGTGGACAATGTCCTAGAGAGAGGGCAAGGCATGTGCTGTCCACCCCAGGATGGAGAACTGCCGAGTTGCTCGGTCAGCTTCTAGACTTCTCAAATTGACACATGCATGAGCCGTAACACCCAGGCCTGTAGATGTGTGTGAGCCTGCTAAGGGTCTGTCTGTCTTTCCGGTCTGCTCTGACTTCCCCAGCATCACCATTGTCCTGGCTCCGTATGTCTATGGCTCCCAGGGGATGTGACAGAGGTGTAACTGAGGACTCGTTTTGGTCCAGCAGGAGTGGAAGATCTGCTCATTTCCTAGGCCCCCAATCTCTTCTCCATCTTTAGCACTACAAGGGCCCGACCCTCATCTCCAGGCAGGTCCCGGGGTCCTCTCCTCAGCTGCCCCTGTGACAGCCCGCTCATGGGGACAGTTTCTCCCCCAGCCCCACCTCCCACGCTGTCCCGGGGAGTGTCTGCTGTGGGTCCTGCCTCCTCTCTTTCTCTGATCTCAGCTCTCTGCTGCCGGTGGTCGTCTGTATGATTGGACACAACGTGGGTGCCCTGGGTGGGCAGGCAGAGAGAAATCACGGGGTGCCATGGCAAGGCAATGTGGGGGTGATGGTGAGGATCATGAGCAGAGCGACAGTGGGTATGGTTATGGGACGACAGTGAGGGTCATAACAGCACACACTATCACCAGCCAGGAAGGCCACAGGGCTGAACTGAAAAGGCCCTTGATGAGAACTGGGGCAGGGGGCACTGCAGGGACAGAGAAACAGCCGTGATTGGCACAGCTGCTGGTTACTTATTAGTTCGGCCATGGAGTCTAATTGCTTCGCCTCCTAAGCCTCGATTACTTGTGTTAAATACCAGATAATCATAGTAACTGCTCCAGTGGGGTCACTGGGGGGACCAGAGCGCATAAACGTGCCCTGCTCAGTGTGGGCACAGATGGGACCTGATAAATCCCAGCTCTGGTCATCCCACCCGCCTCATCAGATTCCAAGGTACAGGAAGACCAGGCATCTGAAGAATGAATTCAGCGACTTCGCCCCAGACTGTGGCTCAGCATCCAGGAACTGACGCTCAGCAGTGCGGTGGGCTTGCGTAGCATTCTGGCCGTAGGAGGCGTGGGTAGGAAGCTGACTCCCGAGTCCAAGCCCCCATTATCTCCAGATTGCAAGACACTAAAGCTGAGGTGGAAGAATCTCAAGCAGGTCAGAGCCCCCGTTTCCACAGTGTGGGGTGTACGTACTCGGGCGCAGTCTCCTCACGCTGAGGTACCCCCTTTTCAGGCTGCAGCGTGGGTCAGAAGATGGTCTTTCTGCAGAGGACCTGGGACAAAAGGAGCAGAAATGAAAAGTGGAGTGGATGACTAGTTTCTCACTCCCGGGCATGGTGTGCTGGGAGCACAGGGTCCTGGCTGGGCCCTGTGCAGGTCACCTGAGCTGGAGGAGCTCACCAGCAGTGGCCACACCTAGAGCACCGTGTCCCTGCCCATCTCTGTGTGTCCCAGATCAATCAGAGGTGTGCTTGTGAGTCTAGCGGCTGCAGCGTGTCTGAAATCCCCAGCTGGCCAGCTGGGCGATCACAACAGTAACGGTGCGCAAAGCCTTGGGTGTGGCTGGCTCCACTTGGTGTCCAGGGCCCACCGAGCAGCTTCTCAGCCTTTCTTCTTCTCTCCTGCCTTCGGGTTCTGAAAGGTTCCACTGCCTGCTCCTGGGTCTGTCGGTCTACGATGACCTGGCCCGGGGTGCCAGGTGCTGCCAGCTGGTGACCACCACCTAATGGAGCAGGTGGGAGCCTCTGCTCTTTAGTTCCCCCAAAATGTAGCATTTAGGGAAACTGTTCTCAACCTTTCCTGTTTGTCGGGCTCGCCCTGGGGGCTTTAGAGAGTGCTATCATTTGAACCACTCCCTCAGAGATCTAACTGGCCTGGGCCCTGGGATAAACATGCAGACCCTCAACTTGCTTAGTTCGCAATTGCTGGGCTACGGGCTTTGTCGGGATGGTGAGATGTCACCATTGCCTCTCACTCCAGGACTTTTTTCCGGGACTTACTGGCTCCTCTTACGCCCAGACAGGCCTCAGTGACCCTGATGCAGTCTGGAAATGGTGTAAAACCAACTTCAAGTGAGTGCACTGGGCTTTCTGCTCTCTGGGCCCCCATCACATCTTCCCCTCGGGGATCTGACCGCCAGCACCTCTTTCCCAGGCCTGAATTCTGTGACATCTGTCCTTCTAGATTGTCTAGATTGCTGTTACTCCTCCCTGAGGAAACGGATGCCAAACTAGCTGGACAGCTGACATGGGCATCAGCTGGGTGGAGGTAAGGACTGTGCCCTCTTCTACCCAGATGGCAGTGGGACGACAGTGTCTTCCAGAGGTCAATGAGGCCAGCCTGGGTAAGACCAGTTAGGGGCACTGAAATGCTCCTGTTGGCCTGCTCAGCTAGCCAAGGGGTGGTGGAACGGGCTCTTTCCTAGAGACCCCTGCAAGACCTCTCTCAGGGGGCGACAAGCCTTTGGTGGCTGGAAGCATTGCTATCATTTTGAATTTCTTCTTCCTTAACTTTAAAAAGACCATAGAGAGTTCCTAAGATTCTTTTTCCTTACCTTCTAAAATAAACTTTATTGAGGAATAATTTTTACACAATCAAATGTGCCTATTTAAAGAGTAGTGGTGGCTAGGCGGGTGTGGAGGCACGCACCTGTATCCCAGCACTCAGGAGGCCGAGGCAGGAGGGTTGCTGTGAGTTCGAGACCAGCCTGAACTGCATAGTGAGACCCTGTCTTGAAAAGACAAAAAAATTAGTGATGACTTTTGACAAATGTAAATACCTGTGCAAAATCCACTCCAGTCAAGATCTGGGCCATTTCTGTCACCGTCAAGTTCCTCATCACTGTCTAACTGCCTCCGTACCCGCGGCCCCGCAGTGACTTGCTTTCTCACCCTGTTGTTTTTCCTATTCTAGAATTTTGCATAAAGGAAACCGCTCAGCACATATTCCCTCGTGAGCCTTAGATGTTCGATGCTGCCTGATTTTCGGCAACCTAAAAATAGAGAAGTTAACTGGGGCTTTAAAATCCTTCCTTTTATGAACAGAGCATTTTCTTCTCATATAGAAATATTTAAAAATTTTATTATTACATGCTTGCAGAACCTAATGAGTCCTTTTATTGTGGGGAGTTGTTATCTGCACAAAATATATTTTGATTCTTCTTTTTCTTGAATCCTCTACCCCTTCCCTCCCTCCTTCCAAATATTGATCCTTGTCTCATTTGCAAAATCATTTTTTCTATCACCATTTTCCCTTTCTTTCCCTATCTCTACTCCCTCTATTTCTTGTTTCCTCATTCATTTGAAAAAGATCTCCAGGGGCTGGGGATTTAGCTCAGCGGCATAAGCGCCTGCCTTGCAAGCAGGCAGTCGGGAGTTCGATCCCTGGTACCGATAAAAACGAAAAAGACCAAAAAAAAAAAAAAAAAGAAAAAGATCTCCAGACCTCTTGTTTATCTATCCTCTATTTTTCTCTTGCTCATATATATATATATATATATATATATATATATATATATCTCACAAGTTTAAATATTGCATATATAAAAATATACATATGCAATATTTAAACTTGTGTGTTATTTCACTTAACATTATGTTCTCAAGTTGCATCTATTTACCTACAAATGCCTTAAGTCTGTGTTTCTTTATGACAGAGTAGTACTCCATCGTGTATAAATATACATTCCTTTGTCCTTTCGTCTGTTGATGAGCAAATACACCTCAAAAACTAAAAGTAGAAATTTTACTTGAACCAACTCTTCCCCTTCTAGGTATCTCCCCCAAAGAGTTAGTTATATTACAGGGACATACACACACCTTTTTTTTTTTTTTGGTTTTTTTCCTTTTTATCGGTTCCGGGGATCGAACCCACGGCTGCCTGCTTGCAAGGCAGGCGCTTATGCCGCTGAGCTAAATCCCCAGCCCCCACATACCAATTTTTATAACAGCAAAATTTATTAATAGCTAGATCTTGGAAGTTATATAGAAATCTTTTCTGTCACTTAAAAACTGTGTAAATTTAGGATGACCAAGAAAGGCAATGGTCTCATTTCTCTGAGGACCTGGACTTATTGAAGTGGTTAAGATCCCCAGGGATATTGGTTAGCCACTGTGTGATCATTTCGAAGCTCAGTATTTACAACTGACGTTTATTATAACTCAGCTGGTCTTCCTTTATCATCAGGCTGTGCTTGCTCATGTGCTTGGTTAGCTGGGGCTGACTGGTGATGGGTTTACTGCTCTGGAATAGCTTCTCTTCCACGGCTGACATTTAGCTAGCCACGTGGGACAAAGCGGGTGGCTGAGCCATTTTAGGTTAGTGACATAGTGGTTGGCAGGATTTCAAGACAGCAATTGGAACAATGCAGGGACTCTAGAGCCATTTCTGCTGCCTCTTATTATCCAAAGCAGATAAAAAGGAATGAAAAAATAGACTCTACTTTTTGATGGGAGATACTACAAAGTCATACTGTATAAAAGACAGGCATAGAGAAGAGATTGCCAGGTTCTGAATGAGTCCGGATTGCCAGGAGCAGTCACTCAGCTTAGAACTAGTTTATATGGCAGCTCATTAGGGGAAGGTAGGGCTCATTCATTCTCGCACTTCTTGCAATTACAAAGCTGTCTGGCATATAGAAGCGTATCACTTAGTGCTCATTAAAAATAAAGGCGACTCCACGGTCAGGACAAAATTAGCTCTTGGGAGGTAGCGTGCCCTTTGCCTCGCCCTGCCTACTAGCACTGCATGAAAATTATTAGGCTGGAACAGACAGAGATCTTGGCAGAAAGTGCTTAGTGGAGACACAGAAACGATGGGACCACGCCAGCAGCACTTCCCAGCATGTGAGAGATTCCACACGAACGGTGGCACTTGGCAGGAGCTCAAAGACTATTTTGCTAAATTAAGTACTAGTGCCAGATTAAGAAAGTGAAGTGTTTTATTATAAAACTACAAAATTAGAACGTTAAAATATGCCAATTATACTCCAATTCTGCGATTTATTTCTCTTGTCACCCGTTGTTAACTTGTGTTCTTTTGGATGCTAGGTTAGCACTGGGTTTTCATGAAGTGGTCTGATTCTGATCTGGAGTGGTACTGGAAATCCCGACCTGGTCTAATGGTAGAATTGACTGTTCTCTAGGAGCTGTCTGCTTAGAAGAACACACCCATGAGTTGGTTCACTGAAATAACAGTTTTTAAAAATGCTACAATGCCTTCTGGGAAACTTAGAAACTGCCCTTTGTTGAAGAAGTTCTTTTGGAACCAGGTTCCGGATGGTGGGGTCTTTAGGCAGCATCATTAGAAAACGGAAACCAGGTATACAAGGTAGGGTGACCACTGTAGAATTATAACCAGCAGTGTCATAATGGAGGAAAGTACGCGGCCTGTGGAAGAGTAATACAGACTTGTGCTGTGAGGATTTGAGTGATGTTTCCCAAGAGGAGAAACATTTTATGGACATTGAGGGCACCGGCAAGTCTCCAGTGCGTTCCAATCTGTCGTGTGTTATAGAGTAGTAACCCCTGAACCTTTGCCCCGTATAATTAACTTAGAGCTGAATTCCTTTCTTTTTTCCCCCAAAGATACAAAAGAAATGATAAATATGTGTTATTTTTAAAACATATTATAAAAAAGAACTTTCAGAAAGTAAAAATATAATAGTGAAGATTATAAAATATTTCCTGAATTCCTCTGTCAAGTGGATAGCTTTTTCCATGCCATTTAAAAAATAGTGCTCAGATAATTAAGAATAAACATACCCCTGTTAGAATATTTTTCTCTAAAGTAAAAAAGAACATTTTTTGGTTAGTTATTTCATCCGGTGAACTCCAAAGACAGTTTAAGATTACAGAATTTTTGAATTTTTTTAACTTTCCTGAATGTAGGGTCTGAGGCTGAGAGGGCAAAATTAAGTTATCTGAAAAGACTGATAATTTAATTTTATTTATTTATTTATTTTTAAAGCCAACTGAGACCGTGTAGTGAAATTGGTACAGAACTTCACAGCAGGTTACCGGGACAACAGTAATAGGTATCACAGTATATTTCGTTATCTTCACAATAGTTGTTCTTTCAATCATGTATATCAAAATAAAATAAAATACAGAATATTATAGAACTTATCAAAACAGAATATTGAATAGAGCAGTACCACTAATCAGAATAAAGCAAAACAGTAATAAAAATATTTGCCTTCAAGGAGATGGTAGAAGGAAATCCCCCTTATTTGCTATGGTCAGCCTCCCAGGAGATGCTCAGATTTCTGGCTCCCATTTGCTAACGGGGGGACAGGGGAAGGGGGCAGGGGAAGTGGGATGTTTGACTCTAGGCCATGCACCGGTAGGCTCACTACTGCAGGGAGGCAGGCTGGTTGCTTGGTGTCCCAGTGTCCTAAGTTCCAACATGGCGTGGATCTCAGGAGCTGCTGGTGGTTCTCCCCCTGGAAGGGCCGCAGTCTGCCCACCACCGCCGCTTACCAGGGAGGGGAGCTGCTTGCTTGGTTTCCCAGCGTCCTCGAAGATTGATAATTTAACTGGATTATAGTGTTGTGGCTGGGTGTGATGGCACCCATCTGTAATCTCAGCTTTTAGGAGGCTGAGATAGGGGATAGCTGCAAGTTTGAGGCCAGCCTGGGCCATAAAGTGAGTTCAAGGCCAGCCTGAACTGTGTAGTGAAACCCTGTAGACCTAATTATGAGCTACCTAAGAAGGGAATTTAACAATAATAAATAAATGAGGTGACAAAAAACTGTACATTAGACTTTTAGAAATTGGGAAGAGGGTCCGGGGAGGGAAGAGAAAAGCTAACAGGGGTAACGGGTATGAAAATCATCAAGATATGATATGTGCATGTACCAGTATGCTAAAAGCATTACTAATATGTACCAAGAAAAGATTAAAACAATTAGGCAGAGGCCTTAACAGACAGCTTATAAAAGAAGAAACATGGATAGCAAATAAACATGAAAAGACAACACTCCACCTCATATGTTGTCGGGAAACACACATTAAAACAATGGTGAAAAGCCACTATTTACCTGTTAGAATGGCCACAGTCCGGAACCTTTGTAGTGCTGAAAGCTAGCAAGAATATAGACCAAGAATAACGCTTGTTCACTGTTGATGGGGACGTAAAATGGCACAGCTACTTTGGAAGATAGTTTATAATACCATCCAGCAGTCAGGCTCCTTGGTACTTACCCAAAAGATGGAAAGACCTACATCAACATAAAAACTTGTTTATGTGTAATTGCCCACAATTAGAAGAAACCAAATGTCCTCTGTGACAGTTGAACCCTGGATGATAAATGGGTAATGAAGTTGGTAATTGGATAAGCCACGGTGTCTCCAGACATTGTAATATTATTCAGTGCTACAAGGACATGAATTTATTAAGCCACAAAACATGGGATAAACTTAAACGGACATTGCTAAGTAAAAAAAGCTAGCCTGAAAAGATCACTGCCTTTATTTCCAATACTATATGCTGCCAAATTACAGAACTATAGGTCCAGTAAAAAGATCAGTGGTAGTCATGGATTGGGTGGGAGGGTGGGGGTTTAGATTGCGTACAGAGGATTTTTAGAACAATGCAACCAATCTTTATGATACTTGTCTTAATTATTTTTCTTATTGACAAAATATCCAACACCCAAAGTTAGAGGAGGAAAGGTTTATTTGGCTCACAGTTTGTAGAGGTCTCCGTCCATAATTGACGGGCTTCAAGGCAGGGTGGCATGGCAGAAGGCCACGGTGACAAGAAGGGAGCAAAGCAGGTAAATGAACTGAAGGTAAATGGTCATCAGAGTCTCTTACAACAATTCCACTGCCAGCTTCACATTCAGCAGGGAGAAACTGAAACCTTTCCCTTTAAAATCGGGACCACGACGAGGATGTTCAATATCATCATTCCTGTTCAAGACGGCACTCAAACCATTAACCAGAGATGTCAGGCAAGAGAAATAAATAAAAGGATAAGCACAGGAAAGGAAGAAGTGAAATTATTATTTGAAAATGACATGATCCTTTATATAGAAGAACAAAAACAACAAAATGCATCCGTGATAAAACAAAAAACCATGAACAAGACAGGTGTAGAAAGAATTTATCTCAATCTGATAAAAGTCACTTACAGCAACAATTCTTCCCCTTTCATATTCTTTGGAGGCTATTGGCTTAGCGTGGGGACAAATTCAGTGGTCACACTCCGAGTCGATCATGCACTCTGCATCCAGCCACCTCTGAAAACACCCCGCCTAGGATTGCATGAGGCTCTGGGGGACACCTAGGGATGAGCCATAACAACACCATAGATTATGTGGCACCAAGAATGAACCTTGGGCCAGGGGTTTAGCTCAGCAGCACGAGCACCTGAATATAAACTGATGGATCTGTGTGACAGGGATGTGAAAATGTATGTTTATCAACTGTGTGACTCTAGTAGTGAATATTGATAATGGGGTGGGTGTCTTTGTATGTGTGCGGGCAGGGAGTATGTAGCAGTCTCTTCTTATTTGTACTGAATTTTTCTGTGAACCTAAGACTGCTCTAAAATTATCTATTTAAAAAATACCTTGAGGGCCCTGTCTGGGAACCAGTGCCATATGCAGGTCACCCAAGCCTTTCCCCATGTCAGCACCATTCATAGACTGGGGAGAGAGAACAAAGCCACACCAGAGCCAAGTGCGGGCCACTGCTGGACTGGGAGTGTCTTAGTTCCTGGGGGCCACCGACATAAACCATGACAGGGAGCAGCCAGACCCCTTCTGACACACGGGCTGGTAAACAGAAAAACCAATTCCCCCCACCCTGCTCCCCGTTAGCAACTGGCTGATTCAGAGAAACACAGGCTGTGATGATAGCTACCAAGGTGAAATGCAGTCGGATGGCTGTGGTGCTTCAGTGTGCCACTGACCTTGCAGGTCTAGGGCCAGTGGTCCGATATCAGTTCAGAGGGTGGTGACGGGCAGAGTACCATCTAGCAGGGCTCTCCTGAGGGGTGGGTAGCCACTGTTGATTCCCTATGGTCTTGTTTTGAAGTCCTATATCATTTTCATTTTTTGTTGGGTTGGGTTTTATTCTTCTTTGTTTTGGTTGATTATGTTAAATCCAATGGCATAAGCTGTTATTTCCAAGACAGCAACATATATTATGGTAGCAATTTGGGATTTACTATTGGCTTGTTCTGAAGTCTTTTATTGCAAATTTGTTTGGTTTTTATTGTTTCTGTTCTGTTCTGTTTGGTTTTTACTATGTCCAAAGGTATCTGCAGCTATTTTGAAGACAACGGAAGGTATTATGGTAACTATTGTTGATTTCATAATGTTTTGAAGTCCTGTATCACTTATGCTGGTTTGTTTTGATTGGTTTTATTATCCTTGATTTTATCCTCTTTAAAATAAAAAATAAATAAAATAAAAAATACCTTGATGTGTCATTAAAGTTGCAACTTTTTAAAAAGTATCACTTCCTAAGTGGCGGTATAGAATCAAAAAGAACATCTACAGTTTTCTTGAAATGTCCCTGAAGTTCTCCTCCCCTTCTGACTACTGTACTGACCTGTGTGAGTGCACTTTCTTTTATTCTTCTGCCAACATGACAGATTGCGACAGACACAAAGTAGGAACAGAAGAATCCAGCCCAAACCCCAAGTCTCTTCCTCCATCCTTGCTCCCTTCCCCTGACACCCTCTTGCTTTCTCTCCCCGGCCTGTCTCCTTATTCGAGTCCCCTGCAGACAGACTGCAGGGCTTCATGGCAAGCAGCACAGTCACCGGGGTCGGGAAGGAGTCAGTTCTGGAGGACTGGGGAGAATCGTGGCCGCAGAAGGCGGGAAGCCTGGCCTGAGTCTGCACGGAGCACCGGAGTCCCTAGCCTGACGTCTCCCATCCGCAGGCATCAGCAGGTGAATTAAAGGGAGAAAGGACAGAGCCTGGACACAGCATTCGTAAGCGGCCCTCGTTCTGGGCTCAGGTAGGCTCTCCTCCTCCAATGTGTGTCTACTTTTTCTCTTCTGAGCCCCTTTGAATTTTTTCAATCCAAATACAACTTTTGTTCCAGACACTTTCTTTTTTTATTTTGTACTGACTTCTTTCACTTATTAATGATTTCTGGTTTGTTTCACGTTGTTGACAGTGACAGGATCTCGTCCTTTTTATGTGCTGAGCAATATTCTCCTGAGTGCTGGCGCTGGTTCCCTTTGTCTAGGCATCAGCTGGCCCCAGTTAGGTGCTTTGCATTTCCTGGCTGTTGGTAATAAGCACTGTAATAAACTCAGGAGTGCGTGTATTTCTTTAAAATACTGACTTTATTTCTTTTGGGTGTAACAGTGGTATATAGCGGCTCTACCTCTTTAATGTTCTGTTTCCCGTAGTGCTGCAGTAAGTTACAGTCCCACCGACAATGTGCAGTGTTCCCTGTATCTCTGCCAACACGACTTCCTCATTCCTGACATCTGTGTGGGGGAGCTGGGCTGGAAGGGACGGGGCGCAGCTGTGCACACGCCTGCCACCACCTCCTTTCACTTCCTGCCTCTGGGTTCTAAGAATTGTTGGAGGCTGCACCTGCAGGCCCATCCTTTATTCTCTCTAGGCCTAACCTGCCCCAGCCCCGAGCGTCCCCCAGGACCTTGGCCGTCGGGCTCTCTGGCTGTGGCGTCACACTCCTGCTCCATTCAGGAGGAAGAGAACAGGTGATGGAGTATACAATTTCCAGGCCAGAACGTGGAGTCAGGAGGGGACAGGAGAGGCGCAAACTCTTGGAGCATCAAGTCTCCGACGGGAGTGGCTCCAGACATTGGTCTCACCTTTCCTTCCACGAGCACCTTGGCGGGCATTTTGGATGAATGACATTATCACGAAGATGTCTTTGACTTTCTGGACCCCTGACAAGGTCTCGGGAACCTGAAGGAGACGACGGTGTGCACACTGAACTCTCGCTGTGAAGTAACTATCATGTTTAGTGACCTGGTATCTAGCCACATGGACAAATCCTCTTCTTCATTCTAGCAGGCTTTTAAAAAATTAAGCTTCCTGCATTTTAAGGTTTCAATATAACATAAAGCATTACAGAAAATTATATATCTTGTTTTTAACATTTTATTTTGTATTTTCCCACACAAAGTCACTTTTCTAACTGATACACCGTGTGTTTAAAATGAATCAAAATTTACCTAACTCATTAATGAAGGCATTAAATATGATGATAGTTAAGAAGTATAGAAGAGACAGAAAAATTGATAGGAATTGAAAAGTTACTAGGATAGGACTTTAATTAAATGCAAAACTTACTTGCTCTATAGAATAATATAATATAATAATAATAATATAATTTGGCTGTATTTTTTAACTAGAGAAAATGCTTTGTGTAACTGTTCAAGAATAATTTGCCTTGTTATTAGCTTTTCTATAGATTTCTTTTGTATTTGAGAATTTATTCTTTTTATATTATGGAAAAAATAAAGTAAAATTTCATAGCAAAACAATAGGGGAATAAATAGTTAATACATTGCATATTGTTATCTTCAAAGTAGTTACTCAGAGCAGAAGATATGGGCATAAAAGATTCTCCAAATGATATTAGCACAAATCTTTTTTTTTTTTTTTTAGCAAACTAAGAGAAGCTAGTACAATAACTAACTTGTAGTCTTTCCTCTTGTAAAATATAATAATACTAAATAGGCAGGATTATTATCTTTTAGTCTTTAGCCTTTCAAAATTATTCCAGAATAATAATTAAAGATTTACATTTTTTTGTAATCCTTGTCTCTAAGTTTTAAGCTTTTCTAAACAATCCCCCTTTGATCAGAAATAATTTCAAGACATTATTCTTGGCCACTACAGAAGACTGGCAGTTGTTCTAATTCATTTGCCTAGGTACAGCATGAAATAGTAATAAGCCTATATAATCTACTTGTAGATTCTTTTTGCGACAAGGTCTGTGTAGTTCAGACTGTGCTTGAACTCATTATGTAGCTTTGACTGGCCTTGAACTCATAGTGATCCTCCTGCTTCAGCCTCCCACACGTTGGAATTACAGGTGTGTGCCACCATCCGTGTTCCTTTTCCTGTAGTTTTGTCAGAAAATCTAAGCCGTGTGGCATTATAAAACTACCAGGGCTGAAAAATGCTTTTCACCATAAACATAACTTTTAATCATTCATGGTGAATTTCTTGTATCTGATCAAAGAAAAATTTTTTTCAAATGTGACACACCTAGCATGATCTTGATTACACAATTAATTTATCCAGAGTAAAAGTTTTAATTTTGACAAAACTCAATTTATAAATTATTCTTTCATGGTTTGTGCTTTTAGTAAGAGCAAAGCTGGCTTAAAAGCCGGGCATGGTGGTACTCTTGTGGTCCCAACCTTCGGGAGGCTGAGGCAAGAGAATCACTTGGAAGTTTGAGACCAGTCTGGGCTATAAAGTGAGCCCAAGGCCAGCCTGAATTGCACAGTGTGACCCTGTGTCAAAGGCAAAAAAAAAAAAGTTGGGGATTTAACAGCGGCATAAATGCCTGCCTGGCAAGTGCAAGGTTGTGAGTTTAATCCCTGGTACAAAAAAAAAATAATAATAATAATAAAAAGAAATAAAGATAAAGAAAGACTTTTTGCTTACTCTGAGATCATGAGGTTCAGTCTCTCCCAGAAGTGGCTAGCTGTATTTTCTGAAGTAAAGGACCATTCTGGGAACTCAGGTTTTTTTTTCCTGACAAGTTGAACTTTCCAAAGCAGCAGTAGCCAGAGCAACCTTAGGAGGTGGGCACCCTGCTGCTCAGTTCATGCACAGCCACTGTGCTTCACGTGCTCATCCTGATGGCACGTGAGCTGGACGATGCCATAGCATGAGGCATTGCATCCCCGGGCTGTTCAGTGCCTCTTCCTCGATCGCGCTGTCTGGTGAGTCCTGGCTGGCTGCACACCGTGTGCCTCTCCCAATATTCTTCTGCATGCCTCTCCTTGGGTCTTTGTCTCTCTGGCCTTCCACACCTTTCCACCCAGCCCTCTGGTCAGGCAGCCTGGCCAGGACGACTGTCTTCTCTCAGGACACAGTGAGCGGCTCACTGTGCTGTGTGTGGCTCTGTCCTCGGGGAAACTTTCCCTCCCACCTTGTAGAACCATCTCCCCATGTGCCTGTAATGCAGCCACTGTTCTTTGAACCCAAGTACCAGGCTGAGCCACCCACAGCCCACGCCTGAGCTTTTAAACTTTTTCCTTAAGTATAAAGCAGGGAAGGCAAAACTGGTTCGGCTGTGCCAGGTGGTGGGGTGTAGGTTACCTGCCCCCCTTCCTCTCTTTGCTCTGGTTCAGCTTAGACTCAATTCCGTTTCCTTATGATGGACTGCTGCTGTGTCTGCCCAATTTATGAAATCTAACTCGAAATGGGAGGTTTCAGACCCATGGTCAAGGCCCCTGTGGTGAGCATTCCCTCTCTCCTAGGGCCCATCACCATGGCAAGAGCTGCCCCTTAAAAGGGCATTTAGTTACTTGTTATAGCTGGAACAGCGTGGTTCCGGGATCCCAGAGGTCTGTGCTGTGATTCTCCTAGTAGAGTTTGCCACACTGTATGAAACCCTCCCAAAACCTGATGGCTGTGGGCAGGCGGGCAGTGCCTCCGGTACAGCTGTGTTTCCGTGTCTCTTCTGGTCTCTGCCCCGCAGCCCCAGGTCTCTGAGGGCTCTGGTAACGCTGTTCTTTCTGTGATTGCCCTCAGGCCTAGTAGGGGTACTGTGTCTCCTCTTCCTAGTCACGTGGGCCTCATCCACCTTCGTAGGTTCCCTCAGCCCTGTTCACATTCTGCAACACATTCTGTGCCTCCATTAAACTCTTCACAACAAATCATTTTGTGTTCCTTTGAGTATCTTCTTGGGACTAATAAATTTAGTGAAGAAAATTGTAGGTGTTTACTACAGAGCATAGAGAAAGTAAAAACAGCACTCCATTGGAAGTCTACCAGGGTCCTCAAACTCAGCATATCGAGAACAAACCCCAGACCTTCTATCTCAGCCACAAACCAGCTTCCTGTACAATCTTCTTCATCTCAGTTTACTGGACTCCATCTTCTAGTCTCTCAAGCATCAAACCTGGAATTATTCCCGACTCTCTCTCCTTCAAACCCCTTATCCAGCACACAAACAATCTTTAAAGTACGCCTAGAATAGAAATCGTTTTTGCCACTGTATTTCTGTTACCCTGATCAAGCTAACATTTGCGTCTTCTACAACATCGTAATAACCCTGCTATGGCTTGAGTGTGTCACTGACAATTCGTGTGTTAGAAACTTAACACTCAGTGCAAAGGTGGTGAGCAGTGGCTAGCGCGCAGGGCTCTGACCTGGTGAGCGACGGAATTGTGAGGACGGGTTGTTGAAGGGTCAGTTCGGCCCCCTCCTCTCTCCCTGCCTCCCTTGCTCCTCTGTCCATCTTGGCTTTGCCCTGTCCCTCTTTTTCTCCTTCTCTTACCCTCTCTGCCCCACCACCATCTGCCACGAGGTGATGCAGGATGAAGTCCCTCACAGATGCTTGCACTTCCCAGCCTCCAGACCTGTAACAAAGAAATCTCTGTTCTGTTGGGAGCCTTTGAAGCTGGAATTTGACTACATGTGCAAGGCTGGAGCATGACTATCCCCAAAACGGAGTGCTTGGACAAGCCACGTGAAGAAGCTGCTTCAGCCCAGAGGACACCCAGCCCCAAGGCAATCTAAACAGTAGGTTGCTAGGACAACAGGGTGTCATGCGACATTAAGTTGCTAAAAGAGATAAATAAACACCCCTGCAGTGAGGGGTTAGTACCTTTCCTCCCACCAATAGGATAAGTGCTCTGCCTGATCCCGGCTTTGTCTCCTCTTTATTTTCTCCTCCTCTCATGATCTTCACCTCAAGAACCTCAAGGGCCACAGCATATGGTGCCCGAACAGGGACCAGGTAAGAGATTGAGGGTGAGGGGACACTTCTCATGTGAGAGCAATTAGGGGGAGAAGTGCATCGGGATAGGTCAACAGTCATCAGGGGTGTACTGATATTGGCTTCATCAGGTGTAAGCAGTGGATATTGAAACTCCCTGATTCTCTAGGACCAGCTGTAAACGGGCTTGTGAGAAACCCCTCCCCTAGAGGAAGGGGGGAAGATGTATTGATTTCATTACAAACCTAGTATAATTATTTAAGTCTAGGGAATTATTTGTTGTTGTGGGTGAAAACATATTTTAAATTGCACACAGATCAAACCTCTGGCAGTGATGTTCAAAATTTAGCCATTACAAAAAGATATGTTAATCAGAGAGGAAGCTACAGGCCGGCAACTTGTTTTTTTTCTGTTTGTTTGTTTGTTTGAAGTAGTACAATACAACAGAACAAGACAGAATAAAGCCAGCTGAGACCGTGTAGTGAAATTGGTACAGAACTTCACAGCAGGTTATCGGGATAACAGTAAAGGTATCACAGTATATTTCATTATCTTTATAATAGTTGTTCTTTCAATCACGTATATCAAAATAAAATGAAATACAGAACATTATAGAACTTATCAAAACAGAATATTGAATAGAGCAGTACCACTAATCAGAATAAAGCAAAACAGTAATAAAATATTTGCCTTCAAAGAGATGGTAGAAGGAAATACCCCTTATTTGCTATGGTCAACCTCCCAGGAGATGCTCAGATTTCTGGCTCCCATTTGCTAATGGGGGGACAGGGGAAGGGGGGTTGGGGAAGTGGGATGTTTGACTCTAGGCCGTGCACCGGTAGGCTCACTACTGCTTAGCAGGGAGGCAGGCTGGTTGCTTGGTTTCCCAGCGTCCTAAGTTCCAACATGGCGTGGATCTTAGGAGATGCTGGTGGTTCTCCCCCTGGAAGGGCCACAGTTTGCCCACCACCGCTGCTTACCAGGGAGGGGAGCTGCTTCAGGCAACTTGTTTTTGATATACAAATATTTGATCAATTTAAAATTGCAGCCACAAGGGTGTGGGGGAAACTTCCTTCACCAGGTAAAACCTTTTACCACCAGGTAAAAACTGATTTGATTTTGAAAGAGTTTTTTGGAGTGACGAAAAAGAGAATATAAAGTAAAAAATAGCCTTTATTCCAAGACGTGGAGAGGAGTCTATGACCCGATGGCCTGGCTTTCTCTACCATGGGATATACATATAACTGCTGACTGGGGGTGGCACGTAGGCCGCACATTGATGCTGTGCAAGGAGCTGATTGGAGTTTTCTTCACATGCAAACAGGAGGGGGAGCTGCAATTAGGCTGAAAAAAAAAAAAGCAGGAAGTGATAGGCGTTCCTGCTTTGGCCTTCTGCTACGTTAGACTGCCATAACCCTGAAGTAATTTATTCTAGGGCAAGAACCTTTCATTCCCAGCTTTGTATTGCTAGGAAAAGGGCGAAGTCTCTCTCTTACTACTTCCTGCTGAAGGGGGGTTATGTGCAGTATTGGGGTTCAGGAAGGCTGATGGGATGACGGTTGATGCCCATGAGGAAGATGGTGCCAGGTGTTTCAGCCGGGACAACTTCATCATTGGTGAATGCTTGCATCTTAGACCAGAAAAACAAAAAGAGGAGGCAGGCCACTGTCATATTTAAGGACCCAGAAAAGGTAGAAGGACAGGTGTCTTTGATTTAAATATGCTGTTCCATCAGGACCACAATGAGGTAGAATCAGGACCATGTTGAGGTAGAATTCTGAAAAATAAGTGTGGGGTTAGAGGGAGTGAAGTTATGAAGCGTAATTATTTCCCCATCTTAAAGGGTAAAAGTTAAGAGTGTAGGTAGGTAGGGCTTGTCTCTGGTCCAGGAGTTGAGCTGGAAAGAATAAGGGGGTGGGGAGGGCTGTGGATGTGTCACTATAAGGGAGCTAAGAGCCTAAAGCCACAGGGATCTCACGTGTGACTAAACAGCTGAGGGTACAGAGAACTAAGACAGTTGTCACATAGGACAACATGAAGATGATTTTACACGTGACATGGGAGTTTTTAGGAAAGATTGTCAAGAGTCCTGCTGTAAAAAATAATTAATCAATAGAATAGAAGGAATTAGGAACAAAATTGGATAACAAAACATAACTTAGCCTGAGAGTCGTGGCTGGGAGGTCTTGGTGAGACGGAGATGGGTGGGAGACAGAGGATGAGATGACACTCAGGATGGTTACATTCGGGGCTGGGAGGGCACCGCTTAGCCTGAGTGATGTGGAACCAGGATGGCAGTCCAGGGACCCTGACCACCATGGAAGTTCTGAGGAAGACTGGTAGGGGCCACCCCATTTTAGTTGTAGTCCTTGGGATGATTTTCTGTAACAGGACTTCAGTAACTACATCAGCAGTCTCCCTGGTTGTGGGAAAGGCTTTTATCTATCCTGAAAAAGTACAAACAAAGGTGAGAAGATATTTGAGAGATTTGTGGCAGGGCATGTGCATAAAATCTACCTGCCAGTCCTGACCAGGGGTGTGTCTGCAAAACTGATGACTAGGAAAGGAAGGGGGTGCTGTGTGTCCCTGAGGAGACAGTTT